TTTTTAATGCAATATTGCAATTCCAGGATTAAAAACGTAAAGAATAAGTCAATACTCTCTGAAAATTTTAACATGCCCAGAGTTGCTGAAAAAAATTGTGACTGGAACTCTTCATAAGGAGGTGAAAAAATACTGTAGAAGTACTTTTTTCCGTGTGGTATTAATTTACGCTATGTACGTGGTCACAGAAAAACCACGGAAATTTGTCCAAACATACTTAATATAAATGTAAGGCATATAGTGATAGTCAAGAAGATTCGCGTAATTTTCTACGCGGATTATACAGAAATTGTGATTCCGTGGAATTATGACCCCGCTGAAAAAAGTAGGTCTACAGTAGTTTGATATAGAAAATATTAATGATACAAATCTTGACAATAAAGAATAATGCCCCCCCCCCATCCAAAGTAAATCCAGTAGATACGGGTAGGCACTAAGGCTTTCCCAGGGTTTTTAATGGTTATTACATAATTTGACTCATGAAGCCACTTTTTATGGCTGCTGTGTGAACTAATCAGCACATCAATGACTTCATTAATACCCAGATATGCTGGAATTTGTTTTTATGAGGTGAATAATGAGATTACATGAGTAAACAATGTTACTCTCTCTGAGTATACTCGGACTTATCTTGGACCATCGCTTGTTTGTCTTGCAATATTTATATAGGCAAACAGCATTAAAATTTTGAGATTTAAAGTCAATAGGCTGGTGGGTGAAGGGTTTGAATATTGGGGTGTTTTATGAACTTCGTTTGTGTGGTTTGGGTCATTATTAAGGAACAGATTAAGATTTTAAGTTTTAGAAAGAGTTTTGAGGAAATAAATTCAAGGATACAATTTATTTCATATTTTTCCTGTTTCTACTCCTTTTGGAAGGAAGAGTATCTAGAAGATAAAATAAATCTGAAAAAGAAATATTTAATATTTAGGCTAAGTGGTTAATTTACATTAATATATTTAAAACCTACATCAGCAAAGTCTTCCTAAGGTGAGATTATAAGCAGAACTGATAAAAAAAAATTCAGTATACTGTGCAGGGCGTATACCCCCATCGAGAAATCACAAGAAAAAAAATCACAATCAAATATTTGTCATATGTCTTATCTATTGATTTGGCTAGCTTTATTGATTGTTGTTATGATCTTCAAAACTAGAGAGATATATACAGCGAGGCTCTTTTTATTTAATATGGTAAGAAAAATATTCAACCCCATAAGTTCCTACATGCCTGTACATAATCGCTGGGTCTGAGTGCGTGGCGAGGGCCTGGGTAGATAGTGCTAGTGGATTAGGTTTCACTCTGTGCCTGTTAGGATTTCGGATGAGCCACGAATATCTGGGTAACCTGCAGGCAAACATTTACTTTGAACAAATAACCTGGGGGTTAGGGACAATTTACCATTTTGAGCTAGGTGCCTGATAGGTCCACATGGGTTTCACTTGTGCATTGTCTCTGGAGTTTTTTCAAAGAGCAAGGACTATTTGAGGGGGAGGATTTTTTTCTTCTTCTCTTATTTGTGATTTTATTTGACTGTTGTGAGAGGACTTAAGTATTTACATTGATGGACTAATATTGTGGGAGTTTGCAGCTTTGGTCAGTTATATTTCTAAGATGACATTCCTCGAACTTGTATTTCATTTGTTTTTCCAGTGACGATTAATCAATTTTTTTCGCTTCCTGCTTTATGGGAAATAAGATACAAGGTTTCACATATTTTTTGCTACTTTCTTTTCATTTTTTGATGAATAAGCCTATTTATATTTGTCAAGGTATATTATATTTTCAGATTCGGATTTCATATTGTAAATAAAAGAGGTTGCGTTGTTCTTTAATACAAGTCTTATTCTTCCTTATCTACTTTCAGTATTTGTTTGTGGAAGGTATTTATAAAGTTATAAATTTCAGAGGACAGTGAAAACTATAGACATTTACAGGTAGACATTGATATACGATTTTAAGTCTTAGACAACGGAGTACCTAAAAAGAAGATTTAAATTCTTTCTGAAGTGCATATTGCTCTTGTTTTATGTTTCCAAGTATATGAACTGTCAATGATGGAGTAAGATGAATTTGAAAAAATGGTCTTTTAGAGGAGAAGGTATATTTATTTGATTTCCGTTAGACAAGCTCGGGTGCATGTTTATTCAAAGTCATAATGAATGCAGAAAAGGTAGATGTAATACATTTTATGGAAAATGTGTTGTAATTTTCTTATGGAAAAGTTTTAGCATAATTTTTCTGGAGGAAGTGTTTTATCTCGTTGAGATTGGATGTATTTGGAGTGGAGTTAGTTTTTTCTCGTTGAGATCGGGTGTATTTGGAGTGGAGTTAGTTTTATCTCATTGAGATTTGGTGTATTTGGAGTGAGTTTATCTCATTGTTAATTTTTATCTCATTAAGATCAGGTGTATTTGGAGTGAGTTTATCTCATTGTCAATTGTTTTAGGGAGATTGAGATCGGGTGTATTTGGAGTGGAGAGAGTTTTATCTCATCGTTAATTGCCGGGTGAGATTCAACTCCTCCAACTGCACACTACGCCAGCTAGCAGCTCACGGACTTATCTCAGTACTTTGGTGCAGTATTGGTCAATATCTTAACTCTTTTTCTGGCCTACGCCAGTTTAATTCTTGTGAATATTTGCACTTCCCTTCAGAGTTAAAGAGGTATGTATGACTCTGCATAAAACATTTTACATTCATATGAAATATTTGTTAACGAGAATACATTGAATGTGTGTGTAGATAATTTTTTTTCTGTGCCTGTTAAACATGGTTATAAATAATGTATGCATGAAGACAGAATTTTTTTGCATTGTAATGAGGAGGAATATTTTAGTTAATATTATGAATTTATAGGTAATATTTAAGATTTTGATAGAAATTTTCTGTAATTCCTGAATATTTAAGTATAAATGAAAGTTTCACAAACAGCTAGTTTAACAGCTAGAAATTGTTTCAAGTTTAAATGATAAATATTTACTGAACCTAAATTTAGAGTAAATGTTTACAGATTCTTGTATTTACTATCGTTAAAAAGTAGACTAACCGAGATAATCTGTCTAGAAATAGAATTGATGTAGACCAAGAATTAATTTGTACTTTTCTAACGTCATCAAATGCACTTTGCAACTGTCTCTCATACTAAGATGACTGTTTACTCTGCAGTGATGTAGACATTTTTCTGATAAACTTGTAGATAACTGCTCTAGTTACAGATAGTAACACATGTACAAAGGTAGCAGATTGAAGTTTGAAGCCCACTTGAAGTACCAGTATATCAGATAGATATTATTAACGACTGAAGAAGCCTCCGTAAGTATGTGATAGGAGGCCAACCTTTAGCCACCACTGAGATGTGTGTCGGTAGATGGAATGATCTGATAACTGATAAACCCTTGGCCTGTAGCGACGAGATTGGACTTGTCCCGGTTGCCTGGGAAAGTTGGTCTTGTGATTAGGGGGTGTTTGTGTACCGATCTAACTTGTACCATCATCCAATACCCCACTTAAATGGAGACCACAGAGCTGAAAAGTCCTGCTATCTTCTATCCCTCTCTGATAACGCTGGACAAACATTGGCAAGCAGTATAGGTATATATGTAAAGAGTTGTTGAGGATCTCATAACTGTTTCAACAACAAAGTATAAAACACTAAACAGACAGTCAACTTAGGTGAATGAATGCATTGCAGTATTACATAACAAAAAAGTGCATGTTTGTACTAAATATTTTTTGAGTTCATTTATTTAATATCTGTAAATAAAACAAAACATTTATTTTTGTGTGTGTATGTGTTCTTTGTTGTTTTTTAACAAGCAAACAAAAAGTGTACGTGTCTTAATTCTGACTAGGAAAAGCACAAGTAAAAACTTCTTCATTTACATGCATTTGTGAAATATCATCTGCATTTAGATGAAAGCTTACACTACTGCTTTTGACCTTGAACAGTTGGATGTATTTCACAGGTATCAAATCCTATGTACAGTATAAGTTTCTTGGATTTTAACAGACAAAATAAAACAAGTTTAACTCAAGGTTTTTGTCAGACTGTTAGAAAAATAATCCAAAATACTGATATTACTTATTGGTTTGTTACTGACTGTCTATGGAAATATATTGGGTTAATCAATTCTGAAGAGAGCATAGTGAAGCTGCAGACTTTTAAGGGATGGATCAGCCCAATTTATTTCCATAGACAATCTGACTTCTTCTAGCTCAGACATGTCAAAGGTAGTTAAAAATAAAATTACACAATAGAAGAAATATAATTGAATTTTCTCTAAGTATAAGGCCTAGAAAAAAAAATATGTTTGTTTCCGCTTTCAGGCTGAAAAAATATAGGGTAGGTAGGTAGGCAATTTTTTTTTTTTGTTGAAATTTTTTTTTTTGCTTCTTTAATCAAAACATGTATAGAAGTAACATTAATGACAAAAGAAATAGTGTTTTCAAGCATTTCTGTGACTTAAACATTATAATAAAAAGAGAGACCCAAACTTCTTTCTGTCTTGAAAAGCTTTCAAAGTTTGATTCTTAATTTTCCCAGGGTGAAATCTTGCATATCATCATGACATGGGACAAAAGCATTAGAAAAATATTTAGGGTCGGCACTATAAATTAGGGTCGGTCAGGAAAGCGGAAACAAACATATTTTTTTTCTAGGCCTAATGTCATTTAAGAAGGGGTCATGTAGATCAGAGGTCAAGGCTACAACACTAAATCAGAGGTCAAGGCCATTACACTTTCCATGACATATTTAATCTAAAGACAGAAGGAAATTTGGAGAAAGAAAACCTTGAGTGGAAAACATACATTTTATTGGTGCCAACTAATATTTCATTAAAATATTTCATTAAATACAAGGTTGAAAAAATGAATGAAACAAACATTTGGGCTGTGTCTTTAAAAAGAAGTTTATTGCAGAATTTGATTCTTACCATTTTCTGAAGGGTTCATATAAGACTATATGATAACCTGTATAATGTTCATTTTATCAACAGTTTTATCCCAAAGACCTGGAATGTGTGTCGAGTCTGGTGACCTTTGAGAACTTGCAGTATGTTTGTCAACACCCTGCTGTGTTTGAGGACCTGCTACCATGGCAACCAGAGGGGAGGTATAACAGAGGGGTTTAAAGTCTGGTTATAATGTTATATAAGTGCAGTTTGCTAAAGCACTTTTTAGACTTGCAGTTTTTGCATTATGGATAGTTTAGGTGTTACTTTTATTTGAAATCTTCATAATTTATCTTTCTTGATAAAAAAAAATGAGAATGATTAAGTTACTCCAATGCAATTGTCACCCTTTACTAGAGACAGCCATCACAGATGTGTCTTCCTGCATGGCAGAAGCTATAAAACAAATAAGATTTTAATTATTCTGGAGAAAAAAATCAATACACAATCTCAGAAAACACAAACAGAGTCTTAAAGGGGCATAGACACAGATCTGAAGTTAATATTTTCTCAAATTTTCTGTATAACATTATACAATTATGGACTCGTATTATTATGGCGTGAATATTTATGTCCCAATATTCACAAATGAAAAATATTCATATTGACTGAGGTGTGTGCATGTGTATATGGATATTTTTCTGGTGGGACAAACATTAATTCAAGGGCCAAAATAGATACCATAATTGTTTTATTATATAGTCCGAATTTGAATAAATAAGACATTGAAGGCTAAATGACGACCCATTTTCATTAACGAACTCCCGTCATTAAAAAAAAATATCCAGATTTAGTACAGTTTGTCTCCTCCGTGTTTTCCTTCCGAGTTTCGCTTTGTAAGACATCCAAATGTTAAAAAATAATCCTGAAATAGGTTTGAATACTCCCAGTAACTGTTTTCCTGGTCAGATACGTAGCTCGCTGCGGCCGTTGCAACCATTGTTTACAACGTTGTTTGATGTTTTGATTGTGACGTTACAATGCCGTTACACGCGCAGTGACCTTCCGGTGAATACGGCCTCAAATCCGGTGAATATGTAGTGCTATGAACTGTTTGCGTTTGTATAGATTATATAGGGATTATAAATAGACTATATAATAATATGACTTATATAATGCATTATTATGCTTCCTGTCAGTTTGTCTCTAGATAACCCATACCCTACTATTCTCGCATAGTGGTCTAAGGATTTATATAGCGTAAGCATACTATGCCGAAATAGTGCACGGCTTTATCTTCTGAATAAAATGCATCAATGCACACACCGGGAATCGAACTGACGACCATGAGGTTGACAGTCCGATGCCTTATCGATTACGCCACAGAGACGATCACTGATTAGGAGAATTTTAATAAATATATAAACTTAATTTATACAATTGACACAAGAAGGAGAAAATAGACAAATATTATTTGAAAACAGTTATATTTATTCTAAGGAATCTTAGATAAATGTGTACAACAAAGTATCAAACTAATTACATACAGATCGTTAGATGAATTGATATCATGGGGTCATTAAAACGCTTTTTTATAGAGCGCTTGATTGAAGGATGTAAAAGAAAATTATCAATGAGAATCCACGTCTGTAAACAAATCAGTCTTACTAACAAAACAGAAAATAAAGATGAGTATCTTTGGGACAGAAAATTCTGACTTATTTAGAGAAAATACTAGTAACCAAAATAAATAAGCATGCAACTAATTTTAGCATGAAGATTTTGAATGAGTTTTTGCAAGTGCGCTGTGTTACCACCATTATTTTCAGGAAAAAATCAAATGGATTGCCGCATAAATAATAACAACAGTCAGCATAATAATAACAATAGTGTTGCATTATGCATGTACTATGCCTAAATAGTAGGCAGGGTTTGACACATAGTGCACTCGCCTCCGGCTCGTGCACCATGTGTCAAACCCTGCCTACTATTTAGGCATAGTACATGCATAATGCAACACTATTATATAAATAGCATTTCATACGAAAATGTAATAAATATCTTTTTTCATCTTAAAGTTATTGAAACTTAAAATTTCTGGACGGATTTGCTTGACACATCCTTATACTTTCACAAATTTTCATTTTACTCTTAATACTAAAGAAAAGAGGCAATCTTGTTGTGTATTAATGAAAAATATTAAACTATTATACAGAAAATTCAGAGTAGAAATGTTTGAAACCAAAACATACATACATACAGTATATTGTCAGTCCGTGCTCAGAGTTTAACAAATTGAATACACCCGCGAAACATAAACTGTTATTGTAAACAGGGCAAAAGCTCTGTTATTATACCCCCCACTTGAAAAGTGGGAGGGTATATAGTAATCGGTATGTACGTCCGTCTGTTACACTTTGGGTTACATATTTCTTATCCACAACTCCTCTTATACCACTGAGTGAAATTTAATGAAACTTTCACAGAATCTGTATTACATTATATAAATGGTGCCTGTTTTGGAGGGTAACAGTTGAAATTGACACCCCTCGGAAAACCATTGTCAACCGACGCATCAGCGTCGGTTGACAATGGTTTTCCGAGTGGTGTCAATTTCAACTGTTACCCTCCAAAACAGGCACCATTTATTTTATTATACTGAATGTCTTCTTAATTTAAGTCAGAAAAAAAGAAAATCGTTGATCATCTTTACGTTCACGTTTACAAAGCTTTCAAACTCCTCGCTACTTCGAAAAAGATTTACTGACCTTTTTATTGTTTGTTTGATACTCTAAGAGTCTTTTATCATATAAAGTTTCGTTATTTCTGCACTCGCAAGCATGTTTCGTCTGTCGTTTGTTGTTTTCAAGTAAGCTACATCGGACGCAAGCTTTTATTGACGTCAACTTTATTCCAGTTCTTTCAAACGTGCAACTGACGTTTTGAGAATTCTACGGTGAACCGTATGCGCATAATATCCACGCATGTAGCATTACCATTGTGTTACCCGTTGTCACATGCATTGCTAAGGCTGAGGGTAATAGAACAGATTGTTAACTGCGTCTAAACCAATCAGATTTTAGTATTTAACATGAAAGTATAATAAATTGCCATTGTGCACCTCCTATTTTACTTTTTGATCCCACACGTATTTTAGGTTTCCCATAGCAAAACATAGACATTGTCATTATATTCTTACCTATGACGTCAGATATGACGGCTTCTAAATAACATTTAAGATACCAACGAGTTATTCCTCTTTACACGTTACCGTACAACAATTAATAGCAACACATGGACTTTATGGGAGGCTGGAGGTATCATTTAGTGAGCTTATTGCTCACAGTACCTCTAGTTGCTATTGTTATTGTTTACGATTCACCGGGTGTGTTCAACTGTTAAAGTCTGAACACACCACTGCACACACACTGTCGATATACTGTGAGTTTTAATATTTTTCATTAGTATACAACAAAATTGCCACTTTTCTTGAGTATTACGAATAAAATTATAATTTGTGAAAGTGCAAGGACGAGTCAATCAAACCCAACTAGAAATTCAAAGTTTCAATAACTTCGAAATTAAATAAGATTTTTATTATATTTTCTTGTGAAATGCTATTGCAATATATAAGTCGTATTATCATATAGTCTATTTATAGTCCCCATATAATATATATAAACGCAAACAGTCCATAACACTACATATTCACTGGATTTTATGCCGTATACATACAGAAAATTTGAGAAAATATTAACTTTATATCTGTGTCTATGCACCTTTAATCTAAATACTGGTATAGATTCATCTTTTCAATAAACGTGCATATGTAGGTATGTGCATGTGTATGATACATTTAGATCAAAATCAAGATGGGACAAACATTAATTCAAGGGATCAAAATATGATACAACTAAAACTTGTTAAAAACAAGATGCGATTATGGAACACAGATGCCCCCATATGGCAGCTGATGGTGAAGATAAAAAATGTTGTTACCAAAAGAAAAGACTTGTCTCAGTGTTTATACTTGTAAAATATGAAAACAATAGCACCACCTATTTAAAGATATGGCCAATATTGAAGTTCTTTTTAAAAATTTGAGTCAAAGGTCAAGGTCACAAGGTCAAAATTAATAGTGCTCAGGGGGAAAACTTTGTCATAAGGAACACACCTGTGAAATATAAAAGTTCTAGTAGTATTCAAAAGTTAAAGCCAAGATAAAAGATTTTCAAAAGTATAGACAACCTCCAAGGTCAATGTCAGAAGGTCAAACCTGTTCTTATACAAAACAAGGTCTTGTCACAAGAAATACACCTTCAAAGTATGAAAGCCTTTGTACTGACTGTTCAAAAGTTATGGCCAAGATAAAAGTTTATTGAAAGTGGGTCAAAATGTAAGATCAAGGTCAAAAGGTAAATAAATTCTTTTTCCTATAGAAGGGTCTTGTCACAACAATCATACATTTGAAGAATGAAAGCCCTAGCACCAACTGTTCAAAAGTTGTGGCCAAGGTAAAGTTAGGTGATTTGTTGCAAATGTGGGTAAAACTCTAAGGTCAAGGTCAAGAGGTCAAATATGTTGGTACCCAAAGAAAGGTCTTGTCACAAGAGATGCAGATGTAAAATATGAAAGCCATGGCTCTACAAAATCAAAATTATAACATTTTAATAAATCCATGAAAATCTGTCCCCACACATTTTAATGATTCCATAGTGAATATGTAAAATTAACCTGGCCTTGATAAAATACACAGCACGCATCACCATTTGACAAATAGATTTGATGCAAGTTTAAAACATGTCACCACCTAATGATTTCCCAAACTATAAATGGCTTTGTAATAATTATAACAATTAGGTACAGAATATAGATAACTACAGTATTTACACTTTTTACAATAAATAAAGGCTACAGATAACATCTTACACTTCTTCCAGCATTTGCAGCAATGCTGCGTCCAGCTCTCCATATGATGATGAGTGTCGTAGGGGGCCAATTTTACCCAACATTCACCAGATGCCGCTGGTGTTTGACATCCTGTCATTGGTGCCCAAGAGTCAACAAGCAGAACTGCTCTTTTCTTCCTTTATTCTTGGTAAAGCTTTGTTATTAAAGGTCTATTTTCATAAGCTATGGGTTTTATAATCATCAATAATACATATATATGTGTGAATGAAATTTTCATGAAGAGACAGTCTTACACAAGTGAAAGTAAAGCTCTTATGAATAAAAATTGATTAAAAGTATATCAAAATTTTTGATTTGATGTGTATCTTCAGTAATGCTGAAATTCAGAATTCTTTTCAGGAAGACCAATAGAAATCCACATGTTAAATATAAATATCTTTAAGTATCTTAGTTCAGATGACTCATCTTCTAGAAATATTAAACAAAACTGACAGAATGGAACCTCTTTGTATTAACAGAACCTTTCATTTAGTGCAAATTTTGATTATTTGTAATTCTACCTTGTGACCTTCTTCTATTTGGTTTATAGTGAAAGAGACAGATGAAACCTTCAGAGATATCAAAGGCTCCAACAACCTGCTGCTGAATCTGTTCTTCGGTGAAATCAAGGGAAGAAAAGTGCAGGAGATCCCCCTCAGCATCACAGACTCTCGGAGGTTCCTGCAGCTGTTGGTGGGCAGGGACAGAGATGTTCAAAACAATCCATATCCATTTGATGTCAGCAATGTAAAACATACCATAGACAAAGCACCTAGTCAACCTGAGAGTCCCAATAAGTCACCCAAAGCTGTATCTGATTTGGAGGACATTCCACATTGGAAGTGCTTTGTGTCGTCTGCTAGTGCTAATAAGCTTTTCATCAAGTTTGTGCCAGCCTCTTATGAAGATTTGCTGAAATTACATGGGGCTAGTGTAGAGACTAAAAAGAATTCCTTGACATTGATGAAAGAGGCGGTGCCAGACAAAGTGAAGATTTTAGAAAATGCAAAGGTAGAAAGGCAGATGTCTTTAGATAAAGAAAATGCAAAGGTAGAAAGGCAGATGTCTTTAGATAAAGATGAAAAGAAGGTGGAGGGTGAAAAAGGCATGGAAGATGAAACAGACAATAAAACCACAGAAAATGAGGAGGGAAAATCTAAACCTCTTTCATATGTTATACCAGTTTACTTTTATGAATGTCACCTACAAAATATAACAGACTCTCTAGTCAACCCTTGGAACTTTTCGAACAAAGAAGACATCTTTGAAGATTGGACCTTTCAAGTGGATGAGGAGTATAAAAGCCCAGCCCTAAAGAAGCCTTCGGTAGATTTGAGTGCCTTTCACAAGACAACATTAGAGGAAGGAGGAACGAGTCCAACATTTAGAATCCATCATGAACGCCGCTCAACAGAAAACAGTGATAGTGAGGATCTCGTACAACAGTCCACTGACTTAAGGGAGTACTACTGCAGCAGTTTTTTAAATGGTATACTTTATAACATTGCAATATTTATATATTCTTGATGTACATTGTATACAAAATGTTCACTCTTTAGTTCAAGCAAAATGGGATGAGGAGGGGGGGGTGATTACAGACTTGAGTAAAATAACTGTGGAGGGAGGTCAAATACCGGTATATATTTTTGAGGCACTAAGGGCAGATTTGCACCACATAGAGAAGTAAATTATAGTTACTGTAGTAATTACATAAGCTGATACAAATACACAATATGCACCACTGAATCATCATAATCTCAATGATAAATTGATTCTGCTTTCAGGTGTCTTTCAGAGTTTACAGCAAGGTTTTCTGGTAGATCGTCAGGACATAGAGGCAGCCATAAACAACATCTGTGAGGAGACGCACCCCATTGAGATAGATACGACTTCCTTCCTGCATACTTCCTGTCGTCACTTTCAGCAGCTGGTAGAAGAAGCCAAGACCTCGGTAGCACTGGTGGAAACAACAGAACACAAAGAAGATGGCCTGAAAAGACAGACTTCTGTCAGATTTGCTGATGAAGTAGATGGGTATAAAATGGCAACATAGAGTTGTTCTTCAATGTCTTAAACACTGATATCTTATAACGTGAATATGTTGAAGTGATTAAGAAATCCCAACTACTAAATCTTTTAATTATTTTACCCTTAATATCTGAAATACTCAGATATCTCAAGTTTTTCATCAGTCCAATTGATTTCAAGATAAGGAGATTTAATTGCATATCTACGTGTATATGCTACTGTAGATCACTAAATTTTCGATTAGCGAGACAAAATTTTCACGAACTGTGGTTTTTGCTCTATATAATCCTAAGGAATACTATTATACGCAAGAATTAAATTTTGGCGAGCACACTGTCTCGCGTAATTACACGAAATTAAAGTTCTCGCGAATAAAAAGTGATTTACAGTATACATAAGTTGCAAATTTATTATCTAATACATGTATATATCTCCTCTAAATTTTGAGTTGTAGGAAAATGTTTCCCAAAATATTTTTTATCACAAAAACTAAATTTTAATTTCAAATTATTGGAGATTAAAGAGAATTGCAAAGATTTGTTATAGTTAGTCATTAATTATTGAAAATGCAATAATTAATACAAGGGGGATTATTTTCTCTTGATTATATTTAAGGTTATATAGAATATAAAACTTACATATATTTTCACTAGTGAGTTGCTGACCTTTCCGTCCCTCCCTGCTGTGCTTCAGATCCCCCGAGGCCGAATTCGTCTGACATCCCCTCCCCTCCCAGACAAATGTGAATATTACGAGGGACTCCATGACATCATTAGGGGAAAGTTCCTGGACATCGTCAATAAATGGTTCAAAGTTGTGCCGTCTGCTCCAGATTTTTACTTCTACTGTCCAGACTCTGTACCAATGGAAAACAACGTAAAAATTACTGCTCTTTTCTCTAGCCCTTTTTAAGTGATTAACATTCAATTACATGTACATATAAAAAAATTGATAAATATCCTTTGAATTTGGTCAACAAATTTTCTTGGAATGTCATCATATTTGTTTTTGAGATTTCCTTGGTTTCCGGTTGCTAAATGTTTTAAATTTCATAAGATAACCATAATATATTCTTATTATGTACAGTGCTTGATCCAGTTTATGAAGAAATTTGTTCTTTTTTGTTTCACAGAATGATTCAGACAACTCTGACATTGTTAAATCTGGTAAGTCTGACAAAATTCAGTACAGTAAAATTTGTAGTATCAGCATGTCCAAATTGGACAGAGTTTTACTGTACCAGATATATTTATAATCTCCAAGTACATGTACAAGTAAATAAATACAGTATTCTCTTTTTTTAATATAAATGTATGTCCATCATCTATAATTTTTCTTTCTCTATTTGAATTCATTGTACAGAGACCATAACAGCAGAAGAACAGGCCATAACTACAGAAGAACTACTAGACGACAGTATCGGCTTCCAGGAGCCTGAGCAGGACTCGGATCAGAAAAACAATCCAGATTTTGCCTCCATTGCTTCCCAGAGGGACTCGGATGAAACATTGTCTTTTGAGGAATCAGAATACGACTTTTGCGAGGAATTGAAGTTGCATGAAAACGAGGATGACTCGGTGCCACTGTTTTTACATTTTACTTGTACTGTGAAAAGTGGCATCCAAAATGAAAATGTTTCTGTCAGGAAACTGGTGCCATGTATAGGTAACTTGCATAATTTTTTTTAAACTTCAGTTTAAAAATCTGTATCAATTTGGAATTTAGGGAAAGGTTTATGAATTTATTTGTTTAGAAAAGACAATCTCAGTTTCCTCCTCTTCTTCCTAGAGGGAGGGGGCATACTGCTGTCTTAAATCTACAGATATATATATATATATAGAGACCCTATATCCTTACGTCATGACCCAAGAGACAGATAATATGTCTGAATGGAGGGGAGGAGAAAAAACAGGTTCAATCTATCAATTGAAAATTGTATATTCTTCTTTTCCAGAGGAGTTGTGTGATGCAGAAGAGATCTCTGTGATGGAGGTTAACCTGGCTGATCTAAAAATAACTCTGGATATAAACTGCCTGACTTACCAATCCGAGTCGGATGTCTGTGAGACTACACAGATCCCATTCATGCGGTTGTCGTCTTATAACTCTGTAGGGAGTGAGGAATCACCGCGAGTTTCTGAAAGTGAAAACGTAGAAGTAATAAGCTCAATTGATCCTGGGTAAGTACAATTTGAATTTCTTCTAGTTTACCAAATGAACCTAGTTAAACTCGGTATTTGTAGACTTTCATAGTGATTTTATTGTACAAGTACATTTGAAATGGTCTTAATGGATGTGAATGTTTTTAAGGAGATCTAATTAAACATTGTCAAAGAAATTATTTGGTCCATTGTAAGAGTTACTGCTTTGAAACATTGAAAGAGTGTATGGACATTTTACTGTAGTAACATTTTAACATTTCATTAATTCGATCAAAATCAGTCCAATTTGCAAGTTCAGAGCAAAACTTTTAAACTGTCTAAAAGTCTCTTTAGGATAAAAGTTAAAAAAAAAAACAACTTTTTTTCAGTAACCAGTCAGGAGGAGATCCATTAGGAAATTTACCTGTACAGCAGCACAATGCCATCATGAAGTGCAAGGAGGAGGTATGGCATAAAAAGACATGACTTTCTGTTATTCTAAATTGAGATATTTACACACCTGTGTAGGTACAAATAGATAAATATATTAAATTGAGATATTTACACACCTGTGAAGGTACAAATAGATAAATGTGTTATATACTTTTCTTTACAAATAAGTGTTGAAGAACATTATATTTAATATGAGCTTAAAGTTACAACTGTCGAAACATTTTACAGCTTGAATGGCTTCTAAAGGATGAAATAGCTTCTTCCCTGCGACACCTGAACCCAATCAGGAAGGATGCCCTGCAGTACGTCACAGAACACATCAAGAATTCCGCATGTAAAGGAAAGCCAACCTGCTCATTTGAGAGTGTGCCTCTGCATTTCGTGTATGGATCTGATGTCAGCTTGATTAAGTTTAGAGAGGTATGTTCTTCAAATTAAAAGTGCAATTACCAGAAAAAAAATTTACTAAGGAGTTAATTATATTGTTTAAAATCCAGAAATATTTCTTGTGAGAAGGAGGAAATGGTCTACTGTTTGTGCTATTTATTTTTCAATTATTTTTTGGAAGGGGGGTGGATGGGGTGGGGTTCATATTTATACCCCACGCAACTAGTTGCGTGAGGTATAATGTTTTTGACCCATCCGTCAGAGTGTCAGTCAGTCCGTTTTTTTTGTCAGCAAAACTCCTCATAAACCGCTGCACAGAATTTCGTCAAACTTTGCAGGTATTTAGGACACAATGTGTAGATAGATGAAACATTCAAAGTATATTTGCTTATATATCTTATATATTAAGGAATTATATACTTTCACAATTGCACAAATAAGTGTGGAAGAACATTATATTTAATATAGTGGCGTATGAAAATATCTTCTTTTCTACCTCTCAAAATTATCATAGAACAATGAATTTAGTTATAATTTTTACACAATCGAAGACTTGGAGAAATGTTCAAATTAAAGTTAAATTAATAATGAGGGACTAAACTTTCAAAATATATCAAATAAATATGATCTTTCAAACAAATTAGAACTTTATTAGCTTTTAAACGCTTCCTATCAAAGTGCAGATTTGAGCCAAAAATCGATAAAAGTATTTTTTCTCTCATAGTAAACGATCAAATCTTTTTGTTTTTGTATCATTTTGTACATTTATAAGACTACTTTATTATATGTGAAAATAAGAAAAAGTTAAATATAGGAAGCATATGAAAATAACTAATATATCCTAAAAAATTAAGAAAAACAGAAAATTCGGATTAGCTAATATCCAGTTAAGTTAATCATGCTAACACATGTTTTTATGCAAAAAGAACAATCATTTAACTTTTAAAATAGAAGTAGTTATCACATGATTGGCAACAGTTATTTTTAGCTCTACTGGTCAGAGACCAGAAGAGCTTATGCGATAGTAATGCGTCCGGCGTCCGTCCGTCTGTCTGTCCGTCTGTCTGTAAACAATTTTTCAAAACACTACTCCTCCTACAGTTTTACTCTGATTTTAATATAATTTTGCACACAAGTAGAATGCACCAAGATACATAAAATAGTGCATCGGTTTTTGATTTCGATGAACGGTGTTGCCATGGTTACTAGAAATAGAATTTTCTGTGAAATTCCTTTAAAATGCTACTCCTCCTACAGTTTTAGTCTGATTTCAATATAACGTGGCACACAAGTAGACTACACTAAGATACATAAAATAGTGCATCGGTTTTTGATTTCGATGAACGGTGATGCCATGGTTACTAAAAATAGAAGAGAAATTCCTTTAAAATGCTACTCCTTCTACAGTTTTGGTCTGATTTCAATATAACTTGGCACACAAGTAGACTACACTAAATACATAAAAGTGCATCGGTTTTTGATTTCGATGAACGATGTTGCCATGGTTACTAAAAAAAATTTTCTGTGAAATTCCTTTAAAATGCTACTCCTTCTACAGTTTTAGTCTCATTTCAATATCACATGGCACACAAGTAGACTACACTAAGATACATAAAATAGTGCATCGGTTTTTGATTTCGATGAACGATGTTGCCATGGTTACTAAAAATAGAATTTTCTGTGAAATTCCTTTAAAATGCTACTCCTTCTACAGTTTTAGTCTCATTTCAATATCACTTGGCACACAAGTAGACTTCACTAAGATGCACAAAATAGTGCATCTGTTTTTGATTTCGATGAACGATGTTGCAATGGTTACTAAAAATAGAATTTTCTGAGAAATTCCTTTAAAATGCTACTCCTTGTAAAGTTTTGGTCTGATTTCAATATTACTTGGCACACAACTAGACTACATTAAGATACATAAAATAGTGCATCGGTTTTTGATTTCGATGAACGATGTTGCCATGGTTACTAAAAATAGAATTTTCTGAGAAATTCCTTTAAAACGCTACTCCTTCTACAGTTTTGGTCTGATTTCATTATCACTTGGCACACAAGTAAACTACAGTAATTTACATATAATAGTGCATCGGTTTTTGATTTCAATGAACGGTGTTGCCATGGTTACTAAAAGTAGAATTTTCTGTGGAATTCCTTTAAAATGCTACTCCTTCTACAGTTTTGGTCTGATTTCTATATAACTTATCTCACAAGTAGACTACACTAAGATACATAATTCTGTGCATCAGTTTTTGATCAGTACAAACCAGTAGAGCTACAGTCTTGACAGAGACTTCTGGTTTATTCTTAATGTCAAGGAGAAAGATAATGACCTTGACCTAACCTTGCCTCTAATTTAAAACGGTCAAATTTAATTTCACTGATACGATCACTTACTGATATTGTCTTCTTGATTCTGTGAAAATTTCATTAATTTTTAAATATTAGAAATATAAACCTTAAGCATTTGCACAGAATTGTCGCAACTCCTCATAAAACTTTGTCAAACAGGTATTTAGGACACAATATGTAGATGTGCATATTACCAGGAAATTCCTATTACTTTATTTTTCCCGGAATTTCCGCACTAAAAACTTAGGTTTTGGCCATACCTTTTATAAAGAGATGAATAGTTTGTCAGCGCAACTCCTCAAAAACCACTGCACAGAATTTCGTCAAACTTTGCAGATATTTAGGACACAATGTGTAAATGTGCATGTTACCAGGAAATTCCGATTCCTTTATTTTTTCTTAGAATTTCCACACTTTTCAACTTAGATTTTTGGCCATACCTTAAATATAGAGATGAACATTTTGTCAGCGCAACTCCTCATAAACCGCTGCACAGGTTTTCGTCAAACTTTGGAGATATTTAGGACACAGTGTGTAGATGTGCATATTACCAGGAAATTCCGATTTCTTTATTTTTCTGGGAATTTTGGCACTTTTCAAATTAGATTTTTGGCCATACCTTGAATATAGAGATGAACATTTTGTCAGCGCAATTCCTCATAAACCGCTGCACAGAATTTCATCAAACTTTGGAGATATTTAGGACACAGTGTGTAGATTTGCATATTACCAGGAAATTCCGATTCCTTTATTTTTCTGGGAATTTTGGCACTTTTCAAATTAGATTTTTGGCCATACCTTGAATATACAGATGAACAGAACATTTTGTCAGCACAATCCCTCATAAACCGCTGCACAGAATTTTGTCAGACTTTGCAGATATTTAGGACACAATGTATAGATATGCATTTTATCAGGAAATTCCGATTCCTTTATTTTTCTTGGAATTTTGGCACTTTACAACTTAGATTTTTGGGGATATCTTGAATATAGTGGTGAACAGTTTGTCAGCACAACTCCTCAGAAACCGCTGCACAGAATTTCATCAAACTCTGCAGATATTTAGAATCCAATTTGTAGATGTGCATATTACCGGGAAATTCCGATTCTTTCATTTCTTCTGGGATTTTCAGCTTTTTGAGTTTTGGGGGAGTGTGGGGTATGTGAGCTTGCTCACTTTTTCTTTCATTTGTACAAATTTGAGCATCACAAATTGTACTGTAAATTACTGAGCATTGCCAACCTTTAATTCATCTCACTTTTTAGGAATTTGAGAGATTACACATGCATGGCTTCCGATTGATCAAAGAGGAGGACTACTATTTTGCCGTGAAGTTGAAGAGTCACTGTCTAGGACATCAACCTGATGTGAAAGCTTTGAAAAACGCTCTGGTGGAGCTGAGTAAAGAGGGATCACCTGCTACTCAAAACGCTTCTTTGGATAGTCTTAACGATCCTACAGAGGACAGTTTCTTATCCAAGGAGGCAGGGGTTCTAAGAACTTATGTATCTCCCAGATTCTGTTCCCCTGAGACTTTCAGAAATTCAGGTCATGTGAGGCAGTTTTCCTCAGACATCAGTGGTAGTGACGAGTACCCATCACCAGCAATTCGATTTGATAGAGTCACTTTTGAAAAGCAGGTCTCTCCCAATGGAACAGTGGAACTTCGTCAAAAGGAGGTACATATATCTGAGGGCAATGTACTGTTGAGTGATTCTAAACTCATTGATTCGAGGAGGAACTCTAAAGAATCCTCAACAGGCCAGGCATTCAGTTTTAGTGCCAGAAAGGACAGCAATACCGACGACACAACATCTGAGAGCGCCTCAGGTCCCTCCAGTAACCCAGAGGGACAACTCTCAACCATTGCACCTATACAGCCCTCCAGCCCCATTGTTACACAGAGTGCAAGCAACAATGATGATCTTCCGGATGCTTTCCTGAGGAAGTCCTCCAGTTTTGCTGGGTTTCAGAATGAGCAGACGACAGAAACCTTCAGCAGACAAGAGTCTGTAACCTCTGTGCTCCAGCTTCCATCCAAGCCACTGGGGGGACTCCTCAGCTTCCATCCCTCGGCAGACTAAGGCATTCCTCTGCTCCCTCTGGGCATGGTACACCTAGGAGCAAGAACTCCACAGTTCCACAAACACCTTCATGGTTGTCTTCAAGAGGAAGCTACACAGAGGAAGGTAAATCATAAAGTTCTCTGTTTTTGAATGACTTCAATTTATTTTAAAGTGCATCTCAACATTCTTAATTTAATATTTGAACTTTTCTTCAAAATGCTTCAATGTTTACTCATATTGGAAATATCGATTTAGGGCTTGTCTTGTAATTTTATGAATGCTAATGTCTAGTTATACAAATCGTCTCATACCAATGTTTTTTAACACTAAAATAAGCACATATACACTGTACAGTAACATGTAACATTTAGTTGGCTATGTTTGTTTTTGTTCAGGATATGATGGAGGGACTAGTGACAGTGAGGAGGGTACCACAGCCTTCAGTGACGTGAGTGGACTACAACACCCCACCCCTAAATTCTGGCTCATCCTGGAGGTCAAGGATGATAGAGTGGACATGTACTATCACTCAAGGTCTAATATCTTAACAGTACTTATGGAAATTTAAATGAAAGAATTAGTTTTTTAGTCAGATAAATATTGACATATACATTTCCCAAAGATAAAATCAGTGTAAATTACATGTACATTTACCGGGTAAATGATGAGTCCAGTTTTTTATAGGTTTATAGTACGGACATATATCTTTCCATCAAAGTAGAGGTTTTTATTCAAGAAAAAAAGTTTTATTTTTGTATCTGTTCTTTTTGTTTCATTGTTTACTTTAGAGAGACAGGATTAGCTGGTGAGAGTGAAGATCTCCTAGAACAAAGAAAATTGATGTCAAATGTTAAGAAGAACATTGAGTCACTCTGTCGCAAAGTTAATCAGGTGAATATCAAACAGTTGAATTAATGAACACAGAGAGAAAAAATGTGTACAAGAAAAACAAAAAGTGTAAAATGTACATGTACAAGTTTACAAATTTACTTTGTCAGTTACACATTCAAATTACAGAAATGACCCCAATTTTGTAAACTTATACTAACACTTTGCTGTTTCTCAAAGGAGGTTTCCCATAATCAGTTTAATTGCTGTGTAGTTTTATCATTGAATACATGGAAAACATTGATTTGGACTCTTACTTACCCATGAAGATAAAGAAGTTTATTCTCTTTTGCTCTTTGTAGCTACTGCTCCTGAATGACTTGTATGAGACTCGCATGTGTAAAAACCTGCTGGTGGCAGAAGCTGATGAAGACGTCTCCTGGAATGTGGACACAGTACCGGGGAAGCCTCCATCTTCCCATTCAGAAGATGAAGATGAGACCTACCCAGGACTACAGTACCTGGCAGCAGAGAACAAGTACCTGCCCGGACACTTTGAGTGTGAGAGTGTGATGACCTACAGATTCATCATCCATCCTCGGCTCAAAACGGGAACGGGAAGAACCAATGTCAGCAGAGGTCTCTTGATTTTAATTTTTTTGGGAGGGACACACTTCTCTGGATTTTTTTATTTGTTTTAACACAAACAATTTTCTAAAAGAAATACATGTAATTAAATATACAGTTTTAGAATAACTTGCAGGACAAAGTTTACAGAAATTTAATAATTTAACTGGACAAACATATATTTAAAAATAATGATTTTAAGTCATTTATTGCCAAGAGAGTTATCTTTCTTATCAGAAGGTTGTTAAACCTTAAATAGCAAGGCAATGTACAATATTCAATAACTACAAGTTTTAATAAGATTGGTGTGGCAAAACTATTAACCTAACATTTATTTTCAGGTGTTCAAGCTTTGAGGACAGTTCTGAACAAGTTTTCTGTGAACAACAGGAAGAATATGTTTGTGATCAAGGAGTTGGATGATTCTAACTCTGTATACTATCTAAGGTATGATCTCATTGCTATACAGTATGTGACAAAGATACCTTTTCATGTATGCAGGGCACTGATTATATTTTTGGCATACATATTGACCATACAGAGGCTATAAATATTAGTTACTGAATTTTAACAGAATTTTTTAGGTTACACAACCTATAGACTGTAAACTGATTGTGAATCTTACAATAACATGTTTAAGAAAGAAATGTTTGTCATTTGTTCATTACCTTTGTAGACTGAGGGAGGTGTTGAGGGAATTGTCCAGCAATCTGTCCAGACAGGTCTCCAGTATCAGCACTGAAGATTTTGGACTTTGTGGTAAGTCACATAGGTCCATAGCATTACTAGGAGCTAAGATATGGAGCTTTGTGGTAAGTCATTTGCATGAAGGTCCCAAGCAATAAAAGCGCTATAAAAGATGTGGAGCTTTTTGATAATTTAGTCACTGAGGAGGATGGGGAATTATTGGAAAGTCACTTAAATCAACATTACTTGTGTAAATGTTAATAAATCGCAGACCCTCTTATTATTGGAACTTCTGTAGTTGCTAATGTTCATGTACGTACTTCTTTGATATGAGGTTAAATCAGACATTATTAATAATCTACATGGTCGTGAAAGATCTCAATTTTTGTTTCTACTCTATAGATTCAGCTAGTTCTATGATGTTTGCTGGGAGAAGAGAGGAGGTACAAAAATTTTATTCTTTTCTGATTTTGCAACTTCAGTCATTACAAAACATACCTTGTCTAGCTAAGGTTTTTATTATGAACTGAATTTCATTTGCAAATTTTACTAAAAATAAAGTCAGTTCATTATATCTAATTTTGAGGTTTTTTAAAAATTCATTATAAAACGTGAATTTCATTATTTTTAACCTCTGTGGGACTCAAAATCAGTTCGCTATATCCATAAATTCGTTATATCAGAGTTCATTATAACTGTAAAATTTTACAAAGATTTGTTAAGAATTTTGCCGGGGACCCTGAAAAACTTCGCTGTATCTGTAAATTCGCTATATCCATGTCCGTACTTAAAGAGTTTTACTGTACTACATATAACGTAAAATTTCCCTTTGTCTAGATGTATATTTCTTATGAGAAATGATCAAAGTTTTATCTCAACTTTTCTGGAGTTTGTGATAACAAGTATTGACTGTATTTATTGACTCCTATTTCTGTAGATGGCCTCAGACAAGGACCCAGATACGGTTTCTCTGACCTCTGTAGGGAGTTCTACCCAGAGGTCACCTCAGGACCTCATTGAGGTGGAGGTGTATGGAGTACAGGCTGCTGGTAAAATTAGCAATTGTAGTTCTTTTATTTATTACAACAGGAATTAACTTTAGCTTGGACATCAGGACTTTTTCCCACATATTTTGTTTTGTTCTGCCCATTCATCGTCTGTAATATACATATGCGTATATACGTTAAATCTGAGCATGATAAACTCTACACCCAGGAACTATGAGAAATTTACATGCAATTCCTCAATTCCTTTTCTGTCACTGTTTATTAATGGCTTTGAATTACTCCAGTAATATTTTGTCTTAAGAGATTTGTACGTCAATACTTATTGATTATAAATGTGCTTGCTACAAAAAAAATGTCTCTGAATTCTTACATTTGATTTTTCTGTTTTTCTGTTTAGGTACTACACTGCAAATGCATTTAATGGACATGTTACAGAAGAAACTAGATGATGCTGTATTAGATATCATCTCTGTACAACTCATTAGGAATCCTAATATCAAACTGATGCCACATGATATTCATGTAAGAAATTCATTTAACGAACACAGATATTCTCTAATGGCAAAATTATGTCGCAAAAGTCAAGCAGGCAGGGTTTACCTTGAAAGTTAGAAAAGACCGACAATTTCAAGAGAGTTACAAATACAAACATGAATTGCAAATTCAAATACAGTTTGTATGCTTTCAAGATTTGAATATAAAAAGACTAACTCATCTGGTAAAATCCTAACTGAACTATAATTACAACATATCAAATATTTTCACATTGAACTATTCATTGAGAGATTTTTGACAACATTCCGTTTTGTTTTTACAGTTTATACAGAAGCCAAACCAGGACGTGAGTTTGGAGATTTTCCTGACAATCCCCGGAATTCTCCCGATCCCCCTGTCAGCCCTGATGTACTACCTCAAACAGAACATGTCTCAGTTCTCACACGCCCCCAACTATGCCGACAACAAACCAGAGCACAGGTTCCAGGTAATCTATATCTACAGTATAACTTGCTTCCCATTGACACAGATATAGCAAATTCATGCATACAGTGAAGTACCTGTTTTAAGTGATGTGTTTAGAAAATCCTGATAATATACATATAAATAACAGATTTAGTAAATTGTGTTGTGTTCTGTGCCCCATACAGAGAGATGATTTCTTTTTTTTCTCCAGGATAAAACTGGTCTCGTGTCACATCCTATACCAGATGATGAGGTGTTTCTATACATCAGACCTCAGCCCTCAGGTGGAAAAGGTAAAATATTTTTTATTTCTTTTGTTTATATTTTATACTCTTCAAAAAATTAATTGTAACATTTATACATGTACATGTACTGTGTAATTGGATTTTTCCCCAATATATAAACATGTCATTATCAGAATGCTCTGGAGTCCAAATAATTAAGTAAAGAATTATATCTACATAATAATACTGCCAATAATCAAATAATCAAAATAGTATGCATAGTACATTGTAACAATAAGTTATTTTTTTTCTTAATTTTAAATGACTGTGTTCTAAACTTCACATGAAACTGGAGGTTTTATGATATTAAAAATATTTGCCACATACTTGTGTAAATAAAAGCCTAATTGCCTGTATTTGAATTTTAGGAATTGCCTGTGTAAGAGTGTCTCTGGTTGATGGACAGAGAAATCTGGTTCCTTTGTTAACCTGCCCTAGACCTTCCCGGACAAATTACAGTAAAGTAGAAACATTGGAGGAGTTTGATTCCCTCACATACACTGCCCCTCTCAGTCCAAGACGTCGAAGCAGGGCTGGTATACCAGGTATTTACAGTGGGCTGTGCAGACTTTTTTATTTTTTTGCATCAAACTTCCTAGAAATTGTTGCTTTAAATTTTTGTGATTTAGACTATTTCAGTTGAGTGTCAGTGTGTGAGTGGCTTCTGTACAAAATTTTATTGGAATTAGTATGATTAGAACTATTCACACATTTCAAGAAAGGTTATCAGAATATTGTTAGTGCGTCTCTGTATAGAGCATTACATTAAACATGATATATAATGTTATACAATGTAATATAATAAAGAATTTATACCTCTAGGTCCCACAGCTCTGGTGCAGTTTCGGATTTGGGAGAGAGGTTCATCTGACCTTGACACCTTCAAAGAGAAGCTGATTAGTGCAATGAAACATGCCCTTAATGATGTCATAATGGAGTATTACTTCCTTACCTCCTCCATCTGCCAGGTGCCCCATCAACTACATGACATTCTCCCCACCCCAGCTCTGTCTGCCCCATCCTCACCAGTCATTACCAAAGGTGGGGGTCATAAATGTATACATGTATTATGTATAAACTGTGAAAAAATAACCTTGTAATGTTGAGGCTGCAGTAGGCATAAATACCACCTTTCTCAAAGCTGAGATTTCTGAGAAAATTTTGAGCTATTTTCACCAAACTGTCAATTTTTCTTGAACTCAGTTTCATTACAGAACTGTTCTCCATTTTAATTTTGTACAGAATATGAAAGAAATTTTAAGGGCAATTTTTCAAAGATGAAATCACACCCTTGAGGCATTATATATTCACTATGTGGTATTTTTGTTTTAAGTTTCTTAGTTTCACCCTATTTATCGCTAAATAAGAGAAATATTTCAAACACAGAAGCGATGTCAGGTTGCCAGAACGCTTTGGTATTATGAAATGACAAAGACCTTGTTGTTTTAACATGTTTTTGTAATCAGAAAAGCATTTTTTCTCTTTTTATATATGTAAAATTGATGGAAAGTTAAATCTTACTGGAAAATGCCAAATATCACGGACAAATCTAATAAAAATTACTGAGAGACAGCGTTATGGGTAAACAGGTCTGCATGAGGCATTATATATTCACTATGTGGTATTTTTGTAAGTTTCAGAATCCGTTGAAAAGAGACATTCAGCCCTTTCTAGGAAGAACTCTATGGAGATTTCCATTAAATCCCTCAGTACCAGTAAGACAGCCCCGTCTCCCCTGCAGTTTATGAAGGACACGTTTGGGTCCTCGAGGAGCAGGTTAATGTCACCCCCACCAGACTCCTCCTCAAAGGTACAAAGTGTTTTCCTCATTACAGAGTGGTATGTTTGTATACTTCAAGCTACAAAGTGTTATCCTAGTTGAAAATGTATCTTAGGGGAAACAAGAAAACAATTTCCTTTAGGAAAAGTTCCAGCATATCTGTTTACTGTATGTTTTGTTACATTCTTCCAAAAGTGTAATCCCTGACTATTTTCGCATTTTTTTTTACCTATATGATGTTTTTTTCCCCCAAGGTCTTTGAGTTTCCAAGTGTTCCCTCCCCTGTTACCTCTCCAACACCAGGTGGCAGTGTAACAGATAAAGGCTCAGATGTATATCAGGCGATAAAGATGTATGAAGATGGAGAAAGAGGGAGTCTGTGTCCTATCTTCACAGAGCAGATGGGCAGGTGGCTGGAATACTGTCATAAACAAGGTTTGTTGAATGTTCTTGTTAATGATCATAGCATATAAATTGTGAAATTAAATTATAATTTTGGAAAAACTTTCAGTTGGCAATATATTTGATTTCAAGAAAGCTAGAGGGGTCTGTGCATGTTTAAAGACTACTAGCCAAAAAGTTGAGCTTTCAGTTTGGAAATGTGCAGTGGACAAAAATAAAATCCATGAATATTGCATTTACATGTATTTTTTGTTAATTACTCTCTTACATTTATTTATCAAGACCTGAATAAGTTGGTCACATCAGTATTTTCTTCTGTGTGTAAAATTTAAAATCAATTAACTTTTATGAATGTGACTATGAGTAAAATCTTTATATTCTACAGAAAATTTATAATTTCAGGTGCCCCAGCAGTAAATAAACTTGAGCAAACCTTTGTATCCAGACTCAGTTTGGACCAGTTTCTGATGGAGTTCCAAAGTCTTGTGAAGACGGTGACCTCAGGAAACGTATCCCCTCGCATATTTCGACAGGACCCTGACCATCATGGGCAGTCTGGCCGCTGGGTGCAGTACAACCCTTGTAGAAAACCATTACATGTAAGCAGTTTTTGAAGCTTATTTAATTTATAATCAAATTTTTTTGCCGGAGCATTTAGCCAATTCCAAAACATAACACAACTTCACTTTTAAAAGTATAAAGGTCAATAGGCTTCTTAATATGAGGTACATACTCATTCCAGTTTGTATATCTACAAATAGAGGATCCGTAATTTTGATATCCAAATCACAATATGATGTATAACCTTATTATGAGACATTCACATGTATACTGAATTTCATCTAAGTACTGACATTTGAAATTAACTGCTATTGAGCACTGAAATGTCACCTGTTTGTTTTAAAATAAAGACAGAGGAAACGTACAAGGAAAGCTCTCTGGATTACAAACATTGGTCTGCATCACATACCTCAGATGTATCTTTCATTGTCATTGGTCGAAATGTTGACCAATGGCAAGCAAGTATCCAAGACATGGGGGAGGATGAAATAGCAGATATCAATATGAAGCAGAGCCAGAAGGAGAAAGGTATTGTATGGTGAAAAGTGGCATTTATTAGTTGAAATCATAGCGATGAAAGCATACTTAAAGGAAATTGCTTTGAAATTTTATGCATAAAAGTTTTTCCTGTAAAACAATCATAAAACAGTGGCTTTTTTTTCTGTAAGCTCCTTTTAGTTTCATGGGTTATGTGCTCAGGTTAAAAAAAAAATGATTCTTGTTTACAGCTTTTCCAAAGCAGTCCTTCCAGAGATTTGCTCCTTATCTGTTGGAGAAAACAAGACGTGAATCCTTGACTGACCAGACATCTCCTGATGCTATAGAGATGAGTCCAGTAGGGTCCACCATGTTTATACCCAGACAGAGGCTGCTCTTTCTTCTACTGAAGAACAGAAAGGTCAGCACAGTTTTTGTCTCTGGCATAATGAAACGTCAAATCTAGGAGTGGATCTAAGAACTTAGTACTTAAAAAAACTTATAAAATGCTCTTAAAAGAATAATTAATCTTCTTTGGTGTTTACAAAGTTAAGTGAGAATATGGTTGACAAATTGACTACTTGTAGGCCTATATAGTTAATGCCATATAAAGTGTAAATGATTAAAAAAAAAAATAGGAGTCAAATTTTTATGAAAATGATACCAATATTTTCAAGTGCTACCAGTAAGTAACAGCTGAAACCACCTTTATTCTTTTTAAAGAACTAATAAAGAAAAGTCTTAATTTTAATCAGCAATACATTTATTATAGTTTGCAGTTAAGTGTGAAGTTTTACATTACGTCACGATGCATCTAGCGTAAACAATTCATGATCACGTGATTGGTCAACTCATATTATCAACATTGACACAGAAATAGTCTGTTGCATGAGCAACCAATCAGGGATAAGAAGAAAGTTCCAGTCATAAAACTTGCGGAAAAGAGGCATGTACTTTTTACCTTGAGCACAGCTGTCAAATAGATCGTGAAGTAAAGTAAAAAATCACCTTAACTGCAAACTATAATATTGCTAAGAAACTGGAAGATGTATTTTCATTTTTAAAGATAAATATTGTCCATTTGTTAATTGTAGCTGGTCCTGTACACATACAACTGGGCAGGGGACTCCACCAATCTTCTGACTAAGTCCACCACTCGTCTTGTGCAGTGGCAGAATGCCAGAGTCAGTCTGTTGAACAGTGTGGTGGCCCAGAAGATGGGGCTGTTCAGTCACTGCTCATTCTATGACCCAAAGAGTAATAAGGTAACAAGAAGTTGGTAATAAGAATTAGAAAAATTGTGAATTTGTTTCATTCTAATTTACATGCTTGTAAATGCCGAAAGCATATTCATGTATATGTACATGTATGTTGAATTATTTCAGTTCTGTTTCAAGAAAATTGAAAATGCTAACCTGTTCATTGATATAAATCTTCAGTCAGTCAATGTACAGAACTGTGATGAACATATGTTTGTTTTTTTTTTGAGTGATTTCTTTTTGCTATTGCTTCAACAGAAGAACCCATTTGCTGGAACCAGCACCAATTTGGATGACTTGATAAAATGTACAGCTCCCCCCAGTGACAAGGGGCGTCGCCATAACAGTATGACCACTGTAGTCACCTCATCCTATCGTGCGTTTGATGAGGTCTATAAAGACCTTAAACCTTCCAAGCCTCTGCAGAACACAGAGTTTTACAAGATGTCCGATATAATTAAGCAACAATGCTTCCAAGCCCAGGACCTCAGATTACAAGATAGAAGAGGTGATTTTTATATACTGATCGATCCATTCTTTTTTGAGGGGTGCTTCTATCTTTTTTTTATTTGAAGAAGTAGATGCACATTTTGTACTGGTAATTTCTTTTGTATAGATTTGGAGAAACTTGAAAAATTGCGCAACTTGTATTTACTGTGGAGTCAAAAGTCAACTGCCCACATGCCTATTAAGGTTAGGATGAGTATACTCTAGCACAGAATTAAGTTTCTTACAATTATTTATCAGTTTGTTTTTTTTTTAAGTCAAAGTTTTATTGACATTTCCACTAGCTAAGTAGGTCTGCATAACAAAATTTTTTGGACAGAAACTATTTTGAAAAAACTGAAACTACTATGAATTTTCAAAACTAATTTTTTTAGGAAGAGTTGCTGAACCTTCTGAAGAAGGCCTCTAGACTACTACACTACTGTGCCACGCCCCTTTTGTTTGACCCTGTCTGGAGAAGAAAGGTCATGAAGAAATTTGAAGTCACACGGAGACAACTCTCGGTTTCCTCAACGACAGAGAAAGTGGTATGATGCAATTCATTTTCAGATGTAAAGTCTATGAGTTCCTGCATCATAATTTTTTTAAAAAGAAATGCTACTGAAATTATGTCCTTTCTACCTGTCTAGCTGTTTGTATTTCTGTTGATACATGTTCAGTGTACATGGTTTATTTGAGTTAGTCATTTCCAAGCTGATTGCAAAGGGTATTCTATCCAAAAATGTCCCATTTGATGAATATGACCTAAATTTTCTGCTTCATTATTAACTCTCAGACTCAAAAAGTCACGTATTATTTTTGTCTCAAGTAGCATCTATACAATAAACCAATATAGTAAAATAAAGTACATCTACTGATGTTTTGTGATTGAAAATAGACTTTGTGTGCAGACATTATTTTTGCTCATCATTATGTATAGAGCTTTCTATCAACCTTTATGCTACATTTTACAGAGCTTATTGCCTAAATCAAGAAAACACATTTACACTAAAATAACAGAAATTCTTGTATTTTTTTTATATTAAGGTTTTATTTTATATGAAAAACACATTTACACTAAAATAACAGAAATTCTTGTATTTTTCTTAATTCAGCGTTCAAGACATAGTTCTGGTCAGTCAGTATCAAGTATGAGAGCCATGAGGACAAATAGTCAGGAAGGCTTAAAAAAGAGGCCTGTGACCACGCCCACAGACTCACCTGTCAATCAACCCAGGCTTCAGAGAGAGGAGGCGTGGCATATAGAACTCAGACACACCTTCCTTCACCAGTATATCAAATATGTCCAGTCACTGGGCTTCATCTCAGTCACCCTTCAACCAAATCTTCACTCAAAAGGGTATTTATTTTGCCTCTAAAAAAAAGAAAAAAAAATCTTCAAAAGTGTTCTTTTTTCCCTGTTGAATACTACATTGATAGAGGTAAAATTGAGTGATTTTAAAGCGACTGTAGAATTTTCTCCATGAACCTAGCCAAAAAAATATTTGTTGATGGTAAACAGGAATTTGTTTTCAGAACACATAAGAAGAGGTCCTCTTATGAGAAGCTGTCAGTTCACGAGGAAGAACTTCATCCACCCCACACACAGTCTTCCACCTGCTACCTTCACAAGGCGATGCCTGCAGGGATCATGTTGATGGAGCTGAGTTTTAGGGAGCAGTACTTCTGTGTGGAGATGTTTGTCTGTGAGAACACTCGTATTGGAATCCCCATCAATAAACATGTAAGCATGGCTGCATGAGCTCATTCAAAAATCTGACAATGCCATTTAAAATTGAATTCTCTTTACTAGGAAATTTGTGCTCCTGTTTTGTTTTTTACTCTTTCATCCTAGTCATTGGTACTGTAGATCACTAAATTTTCGTGACACCTTATTTTCGGGAGATTGTCATTAACTCTTTATTAGCAGGACATAATTTTTGGGAATTGTTATTCCTCTATATAATCATAAGGAATACTATTATATGAGAGAATGAAACTTACGCAAGCTCAGTGTCTCATGTAATTACGCGAAAATAAAGGTCTTGTGAATAAAAAGTGATTTACAGAAAGCAATTTCGAAATGGAGAAAATTCTTCAGAGACAGAGTTGTCTATCTTGAAACACAACAGGGCATGATTTAAAATGTTTTGCAAGTAGGAGAGGATGAAAATGATGTATACATTTTTTATGCAATCTTTGCTGTTTCCTTTTGCAGTTGAAGTTACTTTTTGTGGAGGAATGTGAGAAATGCAAGGACTTGATACATGTGCATTCTTTTGCGCATGACTTCCATCTGCGCTGTATTCAGTCATGCATGCAGCCTGTACAGGCCACTCAGTCTTTCTTTAGGCCTCAGTATCATCTGACAGGATTTCTGAGAGATTTTTCACAGGTGTATCCATATCCTCCAAAATTCTCCAGAAATTACCTGATGGAAGGTAACTTTTTTCTTTCTTATTGACTAAATATTCTTACTTTAATAGTTATTGTGAAGGTAAAATAATCAGAGCAATTGTTTTGTTTTGTTGGGTTTTTTTTTGACAAAAACCTAGAGTAGATATGTGGAATTAACTGAAAAAAGTGCCAAAAATTAAACAAAAGGTACTCATTTAACTTCATGGATCATTGTATTATGATATACATGTAGGTGGTATTTTTCTTGCTTTCTTGCAGATTCAGTTTCAATTTCCAATTTATCAACTAATGGAAGTGACCTATATACCTTCATGGTACAGAATAACAAACTGAATGACCTAAAGAAGTTTGAGATGGTCCCCAGTGTTGACCCAGAAATTGACAGTGTAAATATCCATCTTTTCAAACTATGTGAAAATGTCTTTTTAAGCACCAATATGAACTTTAAAAAAAATATTTTATTTTCAATGCAGTAGGCAAATTGCATAAAAAGGTTAAATTTTACAACTACTTTTTTTTCCTCCAGGAATTCTGTTTTGTAAAGGCAACAGAGTATGCCCTGGTTTCCCATAAAACAGTTCACATCCCTCTACCTCCAAAGAGCAACAAGCCAAATCATGAAGATTACTTTGTGGGACTGGTGATTACACAAAGTCCATACAGTGATACAGACAGACATACATTGAAACTGAACTATTTCATATTATTGACGAGTCAGTCAGAACTGTTTCCTAGTGACCCAGTAGAAACCAAAACAGGAGAGTTCAAGGCCATGGTTCTTCAGGAACTTTCAGGTAGGGCATTCAATATTTTGTCAACATTATATTTTGTCCATGTTCCAGTAATAAGGAATTTTGATTCAAAACAAAATATTGTTCTGTTTAGATTATATTTGTTGAGGTACAGGTAGCAAAATACTGACTACAGTTAATCAAAAATATTTTTAAAAATCTGATTATTTGATAAAGCAATTACATGGATTGACTCTTGATTTCAGACTAAGGTTTATGGCAACTAATACACCTGACTAGGTCCACACCATTAGGGGTACATGTACATCTCAGCAAAAAAAACTGTCTTAAATGGAACATTTAATATTTATTCAAAAAGTTCGCAAACTAATTGAATAACTTCCATACAAGAAACAATATTTGGTTTTAATGTTGATTATATTCTAAATTAATCCTCCCCGATTTTAATGCACATCAACCACCGTTCTGCGCATGCGCGAATCACGTGATATTGGCGGTCACGTGACCCCCTCCGTAGCGTTCTGTCACGAAAGTTAAAAGATTTTTCCGAGTTTTATATTTCTTTCCATGTGAGTTAATTTTTATGACAAGAACAGTTAATTTGTCAGAAATGGTCATATCTCGGCAACAGAATGGGTGGATAATAACATTCTTTCCAAAAATAAGCATGGCGACCATTAAAACACAAATCTTCTGTCTCAGGAGAGACCTTTATTCAAGGTGGATAGAGAATGGGTGCATCCTTTTTATCATATCTAATATGTTTAAAATCTAAAGTAAACGATATCTTAGGTATTTAATACTTATACATGTATCACTGTTCAAATATTCAACTATTTTTCAAAGTGCTAAATGGAGGTCTTTGATAGCAAATTGCTTAATTAAAAATACATATCTTTTCAAACTTGCTTTCACTGGGCAAGATGACAAGTATCAATTTTAACCATCAGTCTTCCTTCACTAAAACGATTAATCCAATCATTAATTGAATTTATAGGAACTCATTTATCTCAATAAACTGTGTACAAATTATTATATGATACTGTAGAGGGATTTCTAAGATATTACAATAAATTGTACAGTCGTTTGTTGAACGAGTTCGACTGAGACAACCAATTTTCGTCACAAGTGACCTAAATAGTGACGTCATTTTCACATTGTGATGTCACAAACAAGGAGAGAAACTTTATTCAGCATATGCTATTTATAGACCTTGTGTATGGTTATGTGTGTACCAAATTTCATTTTAATCTGAATTGTGGTTTTGTAGATATAGAGATAGTTTGTGAACTTTTTGATCACCCCTCGTACATTTACTTTGTAGATCGCTCCAAAATGGTTCCTGTCAAACAACACATTAGTGTTCGAAAGGAGGTCCTGAAATTCCAGAAGATGAGTAAGATTCATAACCTGTCACTGTACAATCTGCTGGAAAATGAAAGAGAGCTGGCAAGGTACAGTACTTATCATTATATTTATTACTGTGCTTGTTCAATAAAAAATTGAAACTGTCTATGATGAAAATTACTGAATAGAATGTATAAAAAGAAAACAAAAATGAAAAATAAAATGTTGAATTAAAAGTAATGGAATGTAGCTGATGTTCTCTTTGAGATCATAGATGAAGTGTAGTCATGCATCCACATGTGCAACAACTTAATCTATCTACTGTCTATTAAATTTTGAAACTCATCAATTAACAAGTGTATAATACAAAGTTTGATTCTTTATCAATACAGGCAGAAAATAGATGATATGATTGAGAGGTCAGAGGTCAAGTGTAGAAAGGACTCTTTGTGGCAGAGGATGCTGATTGGTGGGAAACTGGAAGAAAAAGATAATGTAAGGAAACTGAACTTTCAGAATGAACGAACCCATGGCTTGCCAGATAAAACATTGCAAGTTCATGCAAATTAAAATTAAAATTCAAACCATTTTGAATCCTTATGAATTTTATATACCGTCGCGTCATGTGTTTTCGTGGTATATACGTTTTCGTGGTATTTTTTATTTTTAGGAATAATCCCACAATGCGAGAACGGAATGACGTCATATTTGCTATTAATAAAGGGGAACCCTGTGCATGTTTTATGACCAAATGTTAAACCTTTTTGCCTTTGCCAAAATAAAATATAGCGAGTGAGTTATGCATAGTTCGCAAATTTGACAATCTGCGTAATATATCCTAGTGTACCCATAAATCGTCCTCTTAGGACATTTGACGTCATAGTAACAACGAGCGCGTGCAAATTGATAAACAAACTTCAGTGCTAGTTATAGAATGGAATTGCTGACTAAATGATAAAAATTATTTTTTCTTACCACTCTTCACATGATTTTTAGAACTCTTCTACAAAATCAAACTTTTACACTTAAAAATATCACCCATACCCTATTTTCGTCCTTCAGATATAAAACGGCCGCAGATGATTGGTCTATTTGTTTTCCCGTGATTTGTGATTAAAAATGGATTGGAAAATCATCAAAATAAAAATTGTAAATTTTGATTGTTAATTTTAAATTTTTATTATCAATTTAAGAACATAAATTGCTTTCGCTATTATAGACTTCGTTTTCTTTAACGAAATAAAAAAACACGAACGTGCTTTCAGATTAACATTGTCAACGATGTCATGTATGCTCATCCTGATTATCAGATATGCAAATTATACAATGTTTTATTTTAGATTTTCCAAAATTCATTGACCTTACTTGCAAAAACCGATAGAAAATCAAAATATTTGAACAATCTGAAAAAAAACAACAACAAAAAACCAAAAAAACAATAGGAATACATGTACTATAATTTAATGCGTAGACTTGAATTGATCACCTAATTATTAATAATGTGTGAAATATTCACATTACAGGAAAAAAAAAACTTTTCATCTACTAGTCCTGCAGTAGATGAGAATTAAGAGTCGCAGAAAAGATCTTGTTTTACTTGATTATATCGTGAAGTTCGACCCAGTAGACGCCCGGATTAGTTATGCTTCAATGCACGTGACGTAGCACCTGTCAAATGGTAAAAGTTGTGACAAAAATACACCTTCTTTGGTCGGCTCAATAAAACGACCGTTCGGACTGTTCAATAAGATAAATTCTTGGTTTGTAGAAATAAAATATTTTCTTCTTGATTACTTGACCACTTACCGACTTTTTTGCAAGGAAAGGGGAAGGGGGGAGGGTTGATGAGGACTGGCGACTGGGCAAGGTCAAAAGTAGATCTATTCAAACAATGTGATCATCAATGCTTGGTCATGTTGAAAGGTTGATTTTTTTAAAGGGGGTGGTACATGTATGATAAATTCTTATGTATGAGAAATATTTTTGATTTAATATATTTGGTTTTATTTATTTGCCGTCTCAATAACATATTCCTGTATAAAAAAATCTCGATTATATAAAACTGAATAAAAACAAAACACACACACAAGAAAAGGGAAAACCAGCAGCACAGTATAAATTGTTTTAATTTGTAGTACCAACAAATTTTTATTGTTGGAAGCATTCACAGCTGTTAGTTAAAGTGACTTAAAATCTTTGATTTTTGTGGAGACTATCATTTGCAGTGATGACTTAGATTTTTCGCTGAAATAATTACGGATACCCGCATGGCCGCACAGTACGTCAACGAAACACAGGTAACGTTAATATCGTAGGTGGAAAGTGTATAGGATCCTTGTGATTTTTGAGCGTTGATTTCTTTTTATCAAATTCTTAAATTAAAAGCCCATGCACTTAATTCAATAAAATGACAGGTATAAAATAATAAAATGAAGGAATATTTGATCTGGAAGTAATTTTGGGGAATTAACTGCCGTGTACACTTTCAATAAAAATTGGACCTAAGGAAAAATCAGATATTTTAAGTATTTTTATTTTATTTAAGTTTAATACTGGTTTAAACTGCAAATTCTGAAAAATAATTGCTGGCAAAGTTGCATCATTGTGTTCACTAGTCATAACAATTAAAAATGACGTCATCGATACATAGTTTGAAACGTGCTGGTCCCGAGAAGTTTGGGGACGAATTTAGGGTACGGACGAATTTAGGGTACACGACGATACGTTTATTCGTCGTGTTTTGAACTAGAATATCAAACTTACAAACTAATAGCCGGCGATACTGCATATCATCGTCTGTTAACTATCCATACAGCTTCCGGTCATGTGACAATAATTTGGAATTTCCCACTTTTGATATTTTTTCTACGGTGATCTAGTAACGTCATTTTTTATATAATTTTCAAAGAAAATATCGGGGGTGTTAAAAAGTTATATGCTGAAAAAAAAATATTATGCCATTGATAATTAATTGAATTAAATATGTAATTTCATAAAATATACATGGAATTTATATTTTAAAACATGAAACATTCAAATAAAGCTTTACAAAATTATTTCTAGGCCACTCTTGAGAAAATTTTTTTTTAACATTATTTAGCAATACAGCTTAGGCACGCCTAGATATATGTGGTCTTAATTAACAACAAATAAATTTTCATGTCAAATAATGTAATCATTTTGTCAATTAACTAGTATTTTTGACACTGTAAAATTTACAAGGATTTTGCCCGACTAGATTTCCATAGTTTACTTGTTTTATAAATACCACGAAAACATATGACGTCAGCAAAAAAATCGAAAGAGCAACTATGCAAGAAATCAATGACCTTCTGAACAAATAATAAATGATATGTGAGCTAAAATCATTTTAAAATAAGGAGAATTATTGTTTGTATGTGTGATAAATAACAAACATCTCAATTATTCAGTCTTGAAGCAATTTATTACAAATTAACCGTAATGCCACGAAAACTCATGATTCGAGGGTACTTTGCTGAATGTTCCATGTTCGTTCGCCCTAAAAATTGTTCGCCCGATTCCCCGTTCGCCCAATTTCTTGTTCGCCCAGAGTCCGCTCGCCCTAAAACTTGTTCGCACAGGGTCCGTTCGCCGTAATTTAATGTAGAATAAAATTTAATGAATTTCTTTCCTATTTTTTCCCTTAATGGTGTCACATCTGTTTTAGTATCAGCGATCACACCTATTAACGTCTCAGTCCTTTAATTGTTTTGTTTTAATAGCGCAATTCGTGAAAATAACACGGATGTATCCCCCTAATTAACATTGATATTAATCATCTGAAATTTAAATATTCGTCATATTATCCCCAAAAAAGATGAAATTAAACTATTACTTCAAAACAGACAAACTTTAGATATTTTAGGTTTATGTGAAACATTTTTGACTGAGCAGATAGGCAACTCTGAATTGAATATTGAGGGCTTTGTCTTTGAAAGAAAAGATCGTTTACTTAGGGCAGGTGGTGGAATCTTAATATACATTTCAAATGAAATTTCATATAAACGTAGAGCTGATTTAGAAATCAGTAACATTGAGACAATCTGGCTAGAGATAAATCTGAAAAATTCAAAACCTATATTTTATTGCTCTGCTTATCGTCCACCATCTGCCCCCTCCTGCTGGGCGGAGGACCTAGCAAGGGAGGTGAACCGTGCCTCCTGCTGTGACGATACTGAAATAATTTTATCAGGTGATTTCAATATTGATCTAATGAAAGACCCCCCACAATACTGGGCATCTGCTTTAGAGGAGTTTGGACTTTCACAGATAGTTACTGTTCCTACTAGAATAACAAGTACCTCAAGTACCTTAATTGATCATTTTTATACAACGAAACCAGAAAACATATGTGAAACAAATGTACCCCCTATTGCTATATCTGACCACTACCCTGTATGTTTGACACGGAAAACTAATTGTATACAGCGTAGAGGAAAACATACTGAAATCCAATATCGAGATTTTAAACAATTCAATGAAAATGAGTTTTTAAGAGATTTAGAAAATGCAAATTTTAACTCACTTCTTGAGCTAAAAGACACAAACGAGATCATGAATAAATTTTATGAATTATTTAATGATATTCTTAACAAGCATGCCAAAGTAAAAACTAAAAGAGTCAAGACTGAAATTCGACCTAAATGGCTTACACAGGAAATAAATGATGCTAGACATTTACGTGATACATACCATCTACAAAGAAATTCAGAAAATTACAAATTTTGGAGGAATAAAGTCACACAATTAATAGATCAAGCCAAATCAAAGTATTACAAATCAGCAATTGAAGATAGTTCAAGTCCTAAAGAAATGTGGAGTTATTTAAACCAATTGGCATCAGATTCAAAAAATTTCACACCTACCCGTATAACACAAAATGGTACGGATTTCGAAGATTTACAGGATATTGTTGATATTTTTAACAAACACTTTACTGAAATATCCTGTAAATTATTAGCAGATATGTCAGTAGAAAGTTTTGATTCAGAATTATTAAATAGTTTTACAGAAACTAAACTAGGGAAAGAAAATGTTTTCAGTATAAATCATATAAGTGAGTTTGAAGTATTAAATATGTTGAATACACTTGATGTAAACAAGTCAGCCGGTATAGATCTGATTGGACCTCGTCTTCTAAAGCTTTCGGCAAATGTTATATGCAAATCTATTACACATCTTATAAATACTAGCATCACTAATGGAGTGTTTCCATCCCGTTTAAAACAAGCAAAAGTTACTCCTATTTTCAAAAATGGCGACCACGCAGATCCAGGGAACTACAGACCGATATCCATTCTTCCAACATTATCAAAATTAGTTGAAAAACACATAGCCAATCAGATACGTAACTTTACCTCTAGCTTTAATCTCTTATTTAAATCACAATCTGGATTTCGAGAATTTCACTCATGTCAAACGGCTCTAACAAAACTTACAGATAATTGGCTACAAGCTATGGACCAAGGAAATTTAGTAGGCATAACTTTCATCGATTTTAGCAAGGCATTTGATTTGGTTAATCATGATATTCTTATAAGTAAACTTCAATCATATCACTTTGACCAAATGGCTATTAAATGGTTTCAATCTTATTTAACCTCAAGGTCTCAGTGTGTAAAAATAGGTACATATTCCTCTGATTTTTTGCCCGTCACAGCAGGAGTGCCCCAGGGATCTATCTTAGGTCCCCTATTATTTTTATTGTATATAAATGATCTCCCTTTACATGTAAATAGAACAGATATTGATATGTTTGCTGATGATGCAACCTTACATACATATCATAAAAATGTAGAAGATATTGAAAATGCCCTAAACTCTGATTTGTGTCAGATAGAAAATTGGTGTTCCAAAAATCAAATGGTGTTAAATACCAACAAGACAAAATGTATGCTCATGGGAACTCAACAGAGAAAATCAAGAATAAATTCCCCTGAACTAAATTTATATGCGTCAAACAAATTAATTGAAAATGTTGAATCTGAAAAGCTTTTGGGAGTACATATTGATAATTCATTGCGCTTTAATTATCATATTGTCTCAGTTTGTAAATCTTTGACTTATAAATTGTATACTTTACGCAGAATTAAGAAGTTTCTTCCCTTACACACGAGAAAAATATTTTATAATGCATACATTCTGCCTTCTTTGAATTATTGTCTTACTATTTGGGGTAATGCGCCAGGTGCTGGCATAGATAGAGTTTTTAAATTGCAAAAAAGGGCAGCCCGGATTATTTTAGATGTAGCTTATGATGCCCCTTCACTACCATTATTTGAAAAACTTGGATGGCTGACCATTTATGAGTTAATTGATTTTCATAAATATGTATTACTGTACAAAACACTTCATGGTATGGCACCAACATATTTAAGAGACTCCTTTGAATTTATTTCTTCTAATAGTTATGTTCTACGATCTGAAACGAACTATGACCTTCATCTACCAAAATATCGAACAAATCAATTTAAAAATTCTTTTCATTATTCTGGAGTTCATTTATGGAACAAATTACCTTTGCATATCCGTTTCTCACCAACTGTACAAACTTTTCGTAAAAATGTAGAAAAATTCATTATAACATGTAGAAACTAAAAGTTATATAATTTCATGTTCTTGAATCAATCTGTATATGTACATGTTTTTTTTTTCACGTCACGTTGTATTATTTATTATAATATTGTAAGATGTTTTTAATATTGTATTATTGTGGATGTGTTTAGAGGGCCCCGAGGAAGACTAGTGCATTGCACTAATCGGGTTACCCTCTTTAAATAAAGTATTATTATTATTATTATTATTATTATTATCTAATTAACTATAGTGCAAACACTTAGTCATTAAAAAAACATTACAATCGAATCAAATCAAAAAAATAATTTTTACTAAATAAACATTGCTCTTGGAATCAGAATTTGAGAAAAAAATTCTAAGTTCATAAGGGAAATAAATAGAAAAAATGATATACTCGTATGTTAAATTTCATACAAGTATATATATATAAGTATTGGGCGAACCAAATAGGCCTATTAGGGCGAACGAGATATTGGGCGAAAAATATTTCGGGCAAACGGACTCTGCGCGAACGGACTCCTGCGAACAGGTAGATCGGGCGAACGAACCCGTTACCTTTGCTGAAGAAGAAATATTTATATCCTGATTTAATACTGTTTATGCATTTTATGCATATGTAGGACATATTCTCTTTTCTCTGTGTTAATTAAATGTAGCAAACATACTGTTCCAAACTTGACTGGTAAATATTCCTTAAAGTTTAAAAAAAAAAAAAAAAAAAAGATTTTTAAAAATTGTCTAAATGGCCAATAGAACAATTCAGGGTTTTGTTTTTATCAACAGCTGCAAAAGCTGGAATTTGAGGAATTTCTGGAGCTCCTCGGAATGTCGGTGCAAGTGTCCTTGGACTCAGTAGATTCCCAGCTGATTCCTTTCCTCAACATGAACTTACTGTGGTACAATGGTCTGTTCAAGAAACTCCAGACTAAATATCCTGATACTCATAGATGTTTCTCCTCACAAGATGGACAAGTGCAATATATTGTAAGTTTCACATTTAAAAAAGAACATTTAAAACACTAAAGGTAAACAAAATATGAAAGGTACAATGATGCCATTTAAACCATTCTCTGTAAGTGTATGGTTTCTGATTTGTTTGAAGCGTAAAAGAAGCATTTGAATGGATCTTTGAAGTAATACACTTTATCTTGATTTTATGCTTTGATTGTTTTATTTGTTACAGGTTATTCTGAATCCAAATTATGTGGACATGTTTTCCATGTTGATGACAAATTCTAGAGAAAATAGAACAGTAAGTTTTTAGTATTTATAGAGTACATGAGTCTGTACTCTGACAAAAAATGTAGAAATGTATTTACATAAATAACCCTGTGTATAGCCAATATGTATGTACTATAAATATGAAGTAATGTGCATAAGGGTGAGAAAATTGAAAAAGGCAAATGATCCAACAGCCAACTGAATGATATACAGTGTGTAAAGAAACTTGAGAATATTTGTTGTTCTGTAATCAAGAGAACAAGTTCTGTACAGATTTCTTAGAAAATGGGTTTTTTTCAATAGTTTTTAGGTGCTGTGTATAGGGACTCCCTGATGGGTCAGGTGGACACGCTGGAATCCCCCAATCTTCCCGTACGGAGTGTCCAGCATCACATGGAGGACTTTGTCAATGTTTGTAGCTATCATCTGTGGGCTTCAATGCTGTGAACAATGTTAGTGTGCAGACAACCATATGTGTCTTCAAAGCTGTGATATACTTTTTGCTTAATTTTTTTTTTTTTGTCGGAAGTGTATAACACTTGCAGAATTTCATAAACAAGCTCTGTAAAAAATCCTAAACTTTTCTCATTTATAAATGAACTTTTTTGCAATTGGGCTGTCGAATAATTCAATGTTTTATTTTTCAAAAATGTGCCTATAGAAATTTTGCATTTTCATACATACCCCGGTACATGTACATTTATATACAAAAATATGTCCAGTGGATTTTTGTGGTTACTACTTGGTGTTGGATTGTGGGTATCTCTTTAAAAGAGAAATATTTCATATAAATCTGAAGGGATTTTTTTCTTTTAAAAAGGAAAACTTAATAATTTGCTTTCAAGAGGCAATAAAGTGTAAAGATCTCAATTCAAGAAAAGTTCTCTTTTTTTGGTGCAATTCCTTTATCTGGAGAGATAGGGTATTTTCTGAATTTAGAATGTGAAAGATAATAATGTGTAAAAATGTTTAGGCTTTTGTAGAGCAGTCTCCTCAATGAGATTATATTTATCAAAATCATGCATATGGATTATTGACTGATTTGACTGCTATCTGTGTAGAATATTTACTGAAGAAACATCCTTGTTCATGGTGGACCAAAGTTGTAGGGTTTTGTTGGTCATCCTTTCCTATAAATTAACGTCACTAAGAACGATTAGTTCTTCAATGTTTTGATCATTGCAGCTTTCTTTGTAAAATTGCCCACAAAATTATGTCCCATGAACAAGTAAAATTTTGCTTGCCCATGAACATTTACCCCCACTACCAGTAATTAAAATGATTCTATAGTGTTATTTCACAATCATGACAATGAGCACACGGCGGGTGTGACCGGTCAGCAGGGGATGCTCACTCCTCCATGGCACCTGATCCCACCTCTGATGTTTCGGAGGTCCGTGTTTGCTCTGCTCCTGTTTTGTATTGTTTTATGGACTTTGATATTGAATACTGTTCGTTATCTCCATATCCTTCATTATGCAACTTTGGTACATGCAAATATGACTATGTGGTTGTGAACCTCATGACTGGCATTTGAATTGTTCCATTATTGACATACACTATGTATAAATCTATTCAAAGCTGCAGTTAGCCTTTTTTTCTTAAAGTGTGTCTGCTATGATCCATGAACTCTTGTTATGTTTGTATTGGTGCTTACGGAATTTATATTGTCTTAAATAAATGAATGAGTTAAAATATAAAATATATGTTACCATGACAACTTAAGTGTATACATACTTGTAATTGACTTGAAGCTTCAAAATCTGCATTTTACACACAATATTTGAAGGTTATACTTCATTTTGAATGCCCATTTAAAGAAAATGTCAAAAATGGTATGTCATATTTTGTTCATGCCAAACTATGTAATAAATTTTACCTGGTAAATACACTTCTTTGTTGTTGATAATTATAGAATCATGCAATTTTAAGACTTCATCAAAGGTCAACATTTCCAAAAATTTATTTTTATGATAGTGCGAAATCTATGTGAGGTGTAAAATTAATACTTGTACAGTTTATAATAACCATTGATTAATAGATTGATAGAAAGTATCACTTGAAAACAAATATTTAATTTAACTTTTTTTTTAGGAAAAATATAAAGAAATTTGCATATTTAAAATAAAATGCACCTGCTTAATTCTGTACTTCAGGTGAAAACCATCATTGCAGAGGTATGTTTATCAAAGAGGGGCAAGTTGAACGTGAATGGTCTCTGAAACGCTGCTACTGAAAGCATGACAAGTATTTAGACAAAACCCCTGTAAAATAGCCAATTAGTGTCTGAAAAGTTAAAGCCACAGAATTCCAAAAATAGGTCACGGTGAACCACGTTTTGGTTAATACTCTCCAAGGACTCAATATGCATCATTGTCAAATCTTGTCAGCTTACATCATCATTAAGCCCTGTTACATATACTTGTTAACTGTTACAGTAGTTGACTTGACTCTTGGCCTTTGGATTTGTTGACCCAAAAGATCATTTTTTTTTTTAGTATTGTACAGTTCATAGGAATAATTATAGGCCCTAATGAGCCTCTTGTTTCATTGTAAATTCAAGAAAAAAGCCCCCCCCCTAAAAAAAATGATAAAACATATTTATTATAAAACTTTGAAGGCATTCTTTTGTCTACCAAAAACAAAAACCAAGGTAGCACAGTAGGATGTGATGATAGCTATAAATGTTTGTAAAACAAAAGTTTGAAATTATATAAATTGTGACCATTCTTTATTTTTTTCCATGGCTAGAACAAGGTTTTTGCTCTCTAATCTTTGATAAAGAATTACATGTACCATAAATTTCACAACAAACAAAGGTTATGGTTCTAAACGAAATTAGAAATCAAGGAATACTGAAAAAGAATAGTGAGGTATTGCATTTATAGATGATGCCTAATGAACAATTAAGGCACAGGCTGCCTATAATTATTCTCACTGTGTGCAAATATGTCCACAATTGTCTATCAAACATGAAATGCACCTTTATATATAAAATATTGTATGTGTGGCGGGGGCCAAAGCCATACTTGATCATATTTATATGGAAGCATCCTCAGGTAGTGTAGATTCTAGTTTGTTCAAATCATGATCCCCGGGGGTAGGGCAGGGGCCAAAATGGCCAACCAAAGTTTAGCATAGAAATACATAGGAAAACTCTTTTTAATATCTTCTTCTCAAGAATAACAAAGCCATAATTGATCATATTTATATGAGAGCATCCTCAGGTTGTGTAGATCCAAATTTGTTTAAATCATGACCCCCGGGGGTAGGGCGGGGCCACAATGGCCGACCAAAGTTTTACATGGACATATATAAGAAAATTCTTTAAAAATCATCTTCTCAAGAATAGCAAAGTCATGATTGGTCATGGGACTACTTTTGGACTTTTAAACTTTTCATTGATAAATCAATTTCTATTTTTTCCTATCCACAGTGCTCAGGTGAGCGATGTGGCCCATGGGCCTCTTGTGATCAATGTTTATAATTGGTCGTACTAAGCATGGGCAATATATTTTACTTTGCTAACGACAGAGGGATATGTTAAAATATAAGTCCCCGCAAAGCAAAAACTATACATATAATCGCAGAAAAGCAGTATTACTTGTTTAATGCGGAAAAGCAGATTTTTTAAAATGGAAAATCAATGTCGTTTTGAGATAAGTAGAACTGTGAAGGTAATGTTTTAAAATGAAGTATCAAAGAAAAAAAGAATGATATATTTGAGATTTAATTTTATCACTTTTATATTTGTCGCAAAAAAGGCACTTTGCTCGCCTTGATCGCCCAACTTACATAACTTTTTTTTTTTCCAGACATTCTCTCTATTCCGTCTGAGCCCATTTTAAATTCAACTCATTTCGACGCGTATACGAAACAGGGCGGAATATAACGTATTCATCCCTGGGTATTTTAATTTTAAAAAATAATTTTTCTACTAATACTGTAGGCACGTAGCATCAGAGGGTACGTGGAAGGGGACAGAGGGATTTGGCCCCTCCGTATTTTTTCCAAATATAACTTTTTACCATTGGAAATGCTCTTTAAAAGCTAGGCTGGTCCTCTTTTTCTTTCTTGCAATATACTAGTAGTAAAAATTTGGTACTGAAAGGTAAAGGCGATTTTTTCTCTCTGACTGCCCCGTTTCAAAAACGATTATAACTTGCTCAGTGAAATACATGTCTCAAATTAGCAATCTTTGAAATGCATGTATCGCTCTTTCGATCATTCATGCTCATTTTAAACCCCCGCTTGAAAAGTGGGAGGGTATACTGTAATCGGTATGTCCGTCCGTCCGTCTGTCTGTTACGCTTTGGGGTACCCATCTCTTATCCTCAACTCCTCTTATACCACTGAGTGAAATTTGATGAAACTTTCACAGAATCTTTATTTCATATTGTGCACCTCCTATTTTACTTTATGATCCGATGCATATTTTGGGTTTCCCGGCCGCAGCAAAACATGGACTTTGCCATAATAACCATATGGGAGGCGGTGGGGGGTATCATTTAGTGAGCTTATTGTTTTCTCTTATCGTTTTCTTTTATTCATTCCTTCATTTTCTATTACTTGTTAATTTCATTTTATTGTAACGTGAAGCGGTCACCCATTCAAGGGTTAAACAGGCTCGCCGTTGCTTAACTTGCCTGAAATAGAGGGAGACTCGACCGCATCACCAGAAAAGCTAGCTCACTGGCGAGGCAGTATAAGTTTCCTATATACTGTCCGCTACACTTCTCCCCGCTCAGGGAAGCTTCGACCCGAAGCTTAGCATGAGTTCTCTCTTAGTGTCTGGGCCTCTTCAGTTACGGCAACCAATGCCGTTCCCGGACACGAAGTCCGTACCTGGACACAAAGTCCTAGCCATAGAGCTTCCTGAAGCAGGACACCAAACACAAGAGTCACTACGCTGCCACCAATTTTGTAACGTGAAGCGGTCACCCATCCAAGGGTTAAACAGGCTCGCCGTTGCTTAACTTGCCTGAAATAGAGAGAGACTCTACCGCATCACCAGAAAAGCTAGCTCACTGGCGAGGCAGTATAAGTTCTCTATATACTGTCCGCTACATTATATTATATTACATTTATTACTGTTTTGTCATACGATGCGATGAATTAACCACCCTTGAAGTATTCTAATTTAGGGAGGAATGCCACACCAACGTTTTATTTTATAGATCTCTGAGTCAACCTTTTTAAACAATGGTTTCAGCATTGAAAAGTCGACATTAGAATTTAATCATTTTATAGATTTTTTGTATTTTTTCAAAGAAAATTAGAAAAAAAATTATTTACATCAAAATTAGATGCTTTCTTGTAAAAATTTTGCTGTAAATGAATGCATCACATGAATACCTAATAAAATATGTAAAGAAAAGCTGTATAGTCCTTAAAAATTTCAAATAAAAAATTATTTATGAAAATTAAACACATAATTTGTGAATATTTTTTTAACTTGTGGTTAAAATTTTCTTAAAACAAGTCACAACTGGGGAGAACATGTTCGTTAATCATATTTATTTAAGAAATTGAAACGAAATAGCCAAATTTTAGAGAAATTAATTTTTTTTAATTTTGGCCAATCCCGATCAAAATTAAACCGATCCCAACCATAAATGTAAAATTCTTGGAAATGAATAACATTTCCCCAAGAACACAAGTCTGATTAGGTGTAATAAGGGTTAAAACATTATTGAATCTGACAATAAAATAGATTTCTTCATTGTAAATACACGAAGCGGCAATAAATTAGCATTTTATTCATTTTGTGTTAATTTTGATCGGGATCAGTTTAATTTTGATCGGGTTAGGTTCAAATATTAAAATAATTAATTTAACACAAATTTCTCAATTTCGTTTCAATTTCTTTTTAAAATATGATTGACAAACATGTTGTCCTCAGTTGTGTCTAGTTTTGTGGTGTTTTTAACCATAAGTTTAAAATTAGAAGTCTAATCTAATCAGCCTTTCTTTACATTTTTTATTAGATATTTATATGCTGCATTCATTAACAGCAAACTTTCAACTCGAGAACAACTTATTTTATGGCACGCCAAATTCACAAAAATGAGCTAAACATAGTTTCACAGTTGATAAACTAGGTTTATCGGTTGTAAACTATAGTTTACGGACTGTAAACTATAGTTAACAACGTTAATCTATATTTTACATCTGTAAACCATAGTTAACGCGATAATCTTTGTTTCACAACCGTAAACTATACTTAACTCTGAAAACAATCATTTACGATTGCAAAACATAGATTATCTGATAAATACAGTTTCACGATTTGTAAACTATAGTTTACAAACCGTTAACTATTATGATAGTTAACAATCTGATAATTATAGTTTCACGATTTGTGAAACTATGATTAACTACTCTTAACTATAGTTTACGATTGTAGACTATAGTTTACAGAACGTAATTTTTTTTTATCAACAAAATCTATTGTTAACGCTTTATTCAGAACAGATTATAAAACTTAAAAGATTAGCATTCGTAAACTACAGTTAACGACCGTTAAATATAGTTTTACAGATGAAAACTATAGTTAACGAATTGTTAACTATAGTTTACGATTCGTGAACTATAGTTTACAGTCGATAAACCTAGTTTATCAATTGTGAAACTAGGTTTAGCTCATTTTTATGAATTTTGCGTGCCATATTATTTGGATAAATAATTTTTTTCATTTTCTTTGAAAAAATACAAAAAAAATTCATATAGAATAATTTTAAGAGCTAATATCGACCTTTCAATGCTGAAACCATTGTTCAAAAAATGATGACTCAAAGATCTATAAAATAAAAAGTTGGTGTGACATACCACCTTAATCGAAGACGGACTTTTGTTGCACTCCATCGTCTTTAAGGGTGGCTAAATCATCGCATTGACCAAAAAACCCCAACAACGTCATCATATCAAAACAAACCATATCTTTCTAGATATTTCACATTTGATATTAAACGCCCTAGGTATAGCCAAAAGCAATTAAAAAATAAAGATCTAGAGTGAAACTAAATCTAAAATATATTAATCTGAAATATCGTTATCTATCATATAGATGAAACATTGATGATATCATTCGGGATTTTTCTTTCTTTCTTTTTCTATGAAGTAACTAGTCAAGCAGTTCAATATTGCGCAAGAGATAGTGCAGACATATTGAAGTGGGGAAGGGGGTGGGGGTGGGGGTAATTGAAAGGGGCCGGACTAAACCAACAACAAATGTAACCCCCAATTTTCAATGCCTGTATTATGTATATATTTGCAAAAAAAGTCTGTGTGTGTGTGTGGGGGGGGGGGGGGCTAAGCCAGAGTAGCATCCTCCCCTCTCCGGTTCCGAAGCCTATGATTAAGATAGTTTCAGGCACATAGCATCGTTTTTGAAAGTGGGGGACCAGCCAGACAATTTTTTTTACTTACCTGGAAAACTTGACAAGCAAAAAACATTGCCCAAACTCGAAAATCTTATTTCGTGGGGGGGGGGGGGGGGGGGTGTAGAGGCCAACTTTTTTCTGATGCCGACTTCTTTTAGTACATTTTTACATACTGCATTCCCTTCTATTAACTTTACCGTACTATTAACTGGGGGGGGGGGGGGGGCAACCTGTACTTCAATGAACATTTTCAGCAAAAGTTATGTTGGGGAAAAAGTGGGGGTGGGGGAGGAGACCCCCCTGCCCTCCCCCTGTTGCTACGTGCCTGAGTTTCTAATAATGTCAATGTAAATTGAATAAATAAAACTAATACTTCAGAAAATGTCGTATCATATGTGCTAAAAATAAAATGTGATTCAAACTATATAAAGAAATTTAAGTAAGGTTGATTTTCTTTTGAATGCGAGAGAGCATTACTCACAGTTAAGTCAAATCACTTTGATATCTATAAATAGAATATATCGATTGACACTATGGTCAGGCAAAAGAATCAATTTTCATTGGGCGCGCGCACTTTGGTCGTTTGATCTTCAGTCACGTGTTCATTTTGGTGGGAATTTGTTTGTTTTCCTTTCGTTTGAAAAGTCGCCCCGCGGAATGTGCGTGTGAGATGTTTCTGTTGAATCCTTTGTCTTGTTCTAAAGTTGACATGGATTTATAAATTCTTACACCGGGTGAGTTGTCTTGAAATGAATGCATTTTGTTCCATTTTGTAGTGCAAGTTTGATATTTTTTTTGTTCCAAACTTATCAGTACTGTGAACACAGGACAGTTGGGCAAATGTTCAATGATTTTTACTTGTTTATCAGATGTATGTCCTGGACAATGTGGTGAAATGGGAAATGCCCAGTTGACGGTATCTCTTCATTCGAGCGGCGGTCCCCTTGACGGCTAGAGAAATTTGTCTCTGCAGTCCTCAGCAGGTAAGATCACGTGACAGTTACAAAGTGAACAAAATCGACAGTTTCAGTAATTCTTGGTAGTTACTTGGAATATGAAGATCAGGCCCATCGGAAATCTGGGGGCATATTTTATATATTCAGTTGGGTACTATCAACCACCAAAAAATCTTTAACAATTAGCATACAAAAAAGGTCATGAGCATTTTTATTGAGGGGACAGAACATATAGTAGCAATCCTTTCTATAGTATTACTATTACTACATGTTTTCTATAGTATACTGTATGTTTTATATAGTATAATAAATATGAGCAAAATTATGGGGGAGGGGGCTTTGCTATGGCCATGAAGATAACAAAGAGTACACTATGGTCAGGCAAAGAATCAATTACAGAGGTCTATTACAATCACTACTTTGAATTAGCTATATTTCTTTCTCTGGTTTATCCAAAATAGATTGATTTAGCTAGCTATTATAAGTGAGTTTTTTTCCCACAAACTGCATGGCTTTTAATATTGGAATAATATTGCAAGAATGCATATGTAGCTCCTAATTAATATTTTTTGTCAGGGATTAATTTCAAAAGAATGATCCCTTCCGAAAAGATTTGTTTCTGTTTTATAATTTTCGATTGAAAATTGATTGTGTGGCAGCCTCAATATTAAGTGAGGGGTTCCCCGGTGAAACAACAGTAAATATCTATATCTAGGCCAATATAATTTTAAGACCATAAGAAAAAATGTATCAATTCTTACAGAATTTCCTCAAACTGAAAATCTCAAATGTTAAGCTAAGACATATTAATAACAAATAAATGTCTTAATCAATATTTTAATCATGACTCAGACATAGAAATCTTACAGAATTACAAAAAACAATTGAATTTAATAAAATGATTGCATGATAAAATTAATTTTTATGCAAACAGTGTTCATTTTCAAATAAAATTTTTACAAATGAATCAAATTATATTATGATAATTTAAACAAATTTAATGTTTCAACAAAAGAGGATTATCTGAGTTGTGTTTTATAATATTTTGATTTGTTTTTTGGTCAACAAAATACTTATTTTTATCGGATAACAAATTTATCATATAAAACTTCTATGGCATTGTACTACAGGCACTTGTTTGAGAATTTTTTTTACCCATACTTTGATAATAACATACTATTGGTTAAAATTTTACTCCCAAACAAGTGCATATGCATTGTACTTATGCGTATAAGAAATTATATACAAACATTTGTGCATAAAGCCACTTATCTCAGTTTCAATCATGTAAATACATATTAAAGTTCTAATAAATTTTTGTTATCTCAATGTTGATAAATGAATGTATTAAATCATTTTTAAATTAATTTATTTAGATAAATCATACTTAACATTCTCCATTCTCTTTTCATAACTATTGCAATAACTAGTTTTTTTAAAATATAAAATTATTTTTTCTCTTTTTAAAAATTTAATTGATATTACATATGGATATTAAAATAATTGATAAGTTGAACTTTATTGATTAGTCTTATATCTAAAACAAATATTCATGATATTTATTTATATGATTAATGAACCAGTACACCACAGGTAAATATTACAGGTAATCAGTCTAAAACAGACTATACACAGGTGACAACTCAGGTGTGAAAATCCCAATTTTTGCTAGATGGGAATAAGAAATTCAGAATTTTGGCTAGGTGCATGGGAATAAACCACAAATAAAGACACATAATTCTTATGAGGGTTGATCCAAAAGTAATGTCACAACTTCGATAAAATTGCCACAAGTCGAGGTAAAATTTCATAATTATACATGATGGAAGCTACACGTGTTTCAAATCAGACCTGAAAATTTTAGATTAACATGATTTATACTTTTCAAATATCGAATTGTATATAACGTGTGTTTATGGTAGTCGCCACACCTAAATAACGTCAAATGACGGATACGCTTCATCATACACTTAAACACGTACTTAAATGCTTCCCCTTCGTTTTCTTAAAAATATTTGAAATTCACGCATTCACTTATTTCACTTTCTTTAAAAATTCTTGGCACCCATTGAACACTCACTCTTTTCATATTTTAGTCCTTTGACAAAATGTTTTGAACATTACCATACTACAAACTTTAGGTTTCTCATGTCGCTCTAACTGTGACATGTCTCTCTTGACAACGTCATACAACTTTGAACCTTTCCGCCTGACCTCCCATATCTTTCGTTCTTCTTGTCCTCTGTTGATCATTCAACGACCCATAACCCGCCCCAAATCACTAAGAAGAATCTTTAAACAAGTCTCTTATTTACATTCTTTCCTCTGTGAATCTGATTTTTAATTGAAACTGTCTCTACTGGCGATTTCCCTATTTTGAAGCAAAAATGCAGTACAGCTCATTACGTATTTTTTTTCCATTTTGACATTTCCTTTGTTCAATACATCAGAGTAAAACAACAATGTTTATCATTAAAAAAAATAGCAATGACATTATTGAATTTTCACTTAAAGAAAGACTAAAAATGCGTTAATTTTGTTTTTTAAAGTATCGGGCGGTTAGGCGCTCTTTTTTAGATGCTTTTAATGTGTTTGTCTTTTTCATTCTTAATTAAAGTATACACTTTAAAACGTGACGTTAAGTTGTGACGTGGTGACACCCCCTATGTTCTATGTTTTAAACATCTATAAAATAAATTCCCGTACACATTATTAAATGAAATTTTCAATTTTGATTAGATTTATTTTTATGCATCTTTTGGTATATTATATTTGATGATATGAAGCCAAATACAAAAGATATGGACACTGTGACATTTAACTTTTGGATCAACCCTCGTAATTGCCTTTATGGACATAAAGCTTTTTAATTTTTTTTTAAACAAAGAAACTAGAGATCTATTTTTGTTGATTTTAAGCATGTTTCTCCTTTTCAAATTTTACTTTTTTAAAATTTTGCAAAGAATGATTGAAAAATTTGATATTCCGAAATATTCGGGGTATGCATGTTCAAAATGCTGTTTGTTAATTTTTTTCTGGTCAACAATAAAAAATAATGTGTTTTTGTTAACCTTAAACATAATTCTTTATAGTTTTAAAGAAAACATGGTACATAAACAATTTAAATTTTGAGATTTTTAAAAATAAAGATAATTTGAGATTTTTTTCTGACAGACGTGGACAGATAGTACAACATCAGTTTTCAATGTTTTCCAGAGAAATTTTCAAATATTGAATATTCTCCTGGAAAATTAATTATATCTGATTTTCACAAGTTTTAACATGAATTTGATGTGATTTGGTGCATAGCAAAATAAAATATGATATCAGACTTCTTTATGTTCAATTTTGGCTGTTAACTTCTAAGAGGTAGGTACTCTGAGACTTGTTGTATGAAAATTAACCTGCAAAGATGTGTCTTTTATGGGTGTTTTACTTCCTTTATGAGTTATTTAAGGTATTTAAATAGAAAAATATTTTAGTTTGACAGAAATTTTTAAAAGTACCTACCTTAAGGTACAGAAATTTTTAAAAGTACCTACCTTAAGCATGAGTTAATTGTCTACAACATACAGTCACAAAAAAAGAAAATGAAATATTTTTTGTTTGTAGTTTCCTTCCTGACATTTTAACACTGAGATTTGGCAAATTGGCCCGGGACAGCTAGCATCTGCTGTAATGGAGGTTCATTTTTTACTCATCAACCAAATAGTAAAGGTACAACTTTTTTATTTTATTTGTGATTTTGTGCACTTGTAAGAACTTGAAGTATGATTTTTTCAGCGCACCTCAACGAAGTTTGGGGAAGCTTATGTGATACCCCCCCGGCGTCCGTGTCCCAGTCTAAGGTTTTTGGAGCTCTTTTCTTTGCAAGTAGTTCTATGCCCTATATTGATCATACATGCATGCAACATGCTTCTAGTGTGTTTTATTGTACCAGATGAGGTTTCAGATATGCTGTAATTTCAGCAAAGGAATGACCAGGTCAATGTTTTTGGAGCAGGTTAACATTTTTGGTGCAGTTTTTGGTGAAAGTAACTATAACCCCCATGATGACCAAACTTGAATGGATGATACACCGAAGGATGCATACAACCAGACTTGCTTAGGGTGTGGGATCTGACCTATATTTTTCAGATGAGTGAAACAGGTAAATATTTTTGGTACAGTTCTCATTTCCTAGTAACTATGAGCCCTATGATGACCAAACTTGCATGGAATACATCTAAGGATGCACGCTTCCAGACTTGCTTTGGATGCTGGATCTGACCTATATTTTCTGGATGAGTGAACAGCTTAATGTTTTTGGTGCAGTTCTCATTTCCAAGTAACTATAAGCCCTATGATGACCAAACTTGCATGAATGATACATCTAAGGATGCATACAACCAGACCATTACTTGCTTCGGATGCTGGATCTGACCTACATTTTCCGGATGAGTGAACAGGTTAATGTTTTTAGTGCAGTTCTCATTTCCAAGTAACTATGAACCCTATGATGACCAGACTTGTCGAAATTTTTTAATCGCTGTCAGACAATTAATCCGATAAAGTTGAATGTTCTCTCAGACCAGATACGTGTACCTTATTTTGAGAGAGACATGTGAATAACAGCACCAACCTTATTTAGAGAGAGACATGTGAATAACAGCACCAAAATGCCCTTTATTAATTTCAATAGCCTTCAGTCTAACAAGTTTACTTTCTAGGGATAGAGAGTCTTTAACATTAGACATAATCACATGAACTCTGCCAAAAACGCTGGAATGGATTTCTTTGTACTCTCTTTGCAGAGACTTCATCGTTGGAAATGGTGTTTGCAAGGACTTGGAGGAGGCTGGGCATATTGGATTGGAACAGCATGCCAACAACGCTGGACTGGAGGTATTGCTAAGTCGCTAAGGAAAAGCAGAGGTGAGTTGGTTTCATTATCATTTGTGCACTCTTACTAATTAGTACTAACATTTCCCTCCCGTCCCTCACTCTCAACACATTATTTGTAGTAGTTCTTTCCTATTGTTTTCTATTCTGTTGTTTTTTCTTTGTCTAATCTTCTCTGTTCTCTCTTTGCCGGGATATCATCGTTGGAGATGGTGCACTTGGATTTGGCTGGCTCTTCATCATTGGAGGAGGCTGCATATTGGATTGGAACAGCATGCCAACAACGCTGGAGTGGAGGTATTATATTGCTAAGTCATTAAGGAAAAGCAGAGCTGAGTTAATTTGTTTCATTATCATTTGTGCACTCTAACTAATTAGTACTAACATTTCCCTCCCCTCCCCCACTCTCAACACATTTTTTGAAGTAGTACTTTCTTTTCTGTTTTTTTGTTTTGTTGTTTTTTCTTTGTCTAATCTTCTCTGTTCTCTCTTTGCCGGGATATCATCGTTGGAAATGGTGCACTTGGATTTGGCTGGCTCTTCATCTTTGGAGGACTTGGAGGAGGATGGGCATATTGGAACAGCATGCCAACAACGCTGGAGTAGAGGTATTGCTAAGTTGTTAAGGAAAAGCAGAGGTGAGTTGGTTTCATTATCATTTGTGCACTCTTACTAATTAGTACTAACATTTCCCTCCCGTCCCTCACTCTCAACACATTATTTGTAGTAGTTCTTTCCTTTTGTTTTTTGTTCTGTTGTTTTTTCTTTGTCTAATCTTCTCTGTTCTCTCTTTGCCGGGATATCATCGTTGGAAATGGTGCACTTGGATTTGGCTGGCTCTTCATCGTTAGAAGACTTGGAGGATTGGCTGGGCATATTGGATTGGAACAGCATGCCAACAACGCTGGACTGGAGGTTTTTTTTGTATTATTTTGATGTTAGGTCTTTTTGTTCTTTTTGTTCTTACTTTTTGATTTCTATTTTGTTTCCTTTGTTAGTATTTGTTGTTATTTGTTCATTAGGTTTTTATTATTGTTATTTGTTTATTGAGTTGTTAGTTTTTTGTTTATGAGGGTTGTAAAAGTTGTTAATTTTCATGTTTTACATGTATTTGTTATTTGTTATATTATGTTTTTAAGATTTTATTAGTTGACATTGTTATGAGTTTCAGTTATTTGTTATTGAGGCAGTCATGAGTTTTACTTGTTAGGAGCTTAAGTTATTTGCTGTTGTTGTGATTTTTAATTATTTGTTATTGTTATGAGTGTTTGTTAGTTGTTATTGTTATGAGTTTTATTTAGTTGTTATGAGTTTAGTTATTTGTTATAGTTATGAGTTTTAGTTATTTGCTTTAGTTGAGATTTTAGTTATTTGTTATGATAGTTATGAATTTATGTTAACTATTATTGTTCTGAGCTTTATTTTAATTGCATTTAGTAGTTCTTTCTTTCTGTTTTTTTTGTTTTGTTGTTTTTTCTTTGTCTAATCTTCTCTGTTCTCTCTTTGCCGGGATATCATCGTTGGAAATGGTGCACTTGGATTTGGCTGGCTCTTCATCGTTGGAGGACTTGGAGGAGGCTGGGCATATTGGAACAGCATGCCAACAACGCTGGAGTAGAGGTATTGCTAAGTTGTTAAGGAAAAGCAGAGGTGAGTTGGTTTCATTATCATTTGTGCACTCTTACTAATTAGTACTAACATTTCCCTCCCCTCCCCTACTCTCAACACATTATTTGTAGTAGTTCTTTCTTTCTGTTTTTTTGTTCTGTTGTTTTTTTCTTTGTCTAATCTTCTCTGTTCTCTCTTTGCCGGGATATCATTGTTGGAAATGGTGCACTTGGATTTGGCTGGCTCTTCATCGTTGGAGGATTTGGAGGAGGCTGGACATATTGGAACAGCATGCCAACAACGCTGGAGTAGAGGTATTGCTAAGTTGTTAAGGAAAAGCAGAGGTGAGTTGGTTTCATTATCATTTGTGCACTCTTACTAATTAGTACTAACATTTCCCTCCCCTCCCCTACTCTCAACACATTATTTGTAGTAGTTCTTTCTTTCTGTTTTTTTGTTCTGTTGTTTTTTCTTTGTCTAATCTTCTCTGTTCTCTCTTTGCCGGGATATCATCGTTGGAAATGGTGCACTTGGATTTGGCTGGCTCTTCATCGTTGGAGGATTTGGAGGAGGCTGGGCATATTGGAACAGCATGCCAACAACGCTGGAGTAGAGGTATTGCTAAGTTGTTAAGGAAAAGAAGAGGTGAGTTGGTTTCATTATCATTTGTGCACTCTTACTAATTAGTACTAACATTTCCCTCCCCTCCCCCACTCTCAACACATTATTTGTAGTAGTTCTTTACTTTTGTTTTTTGTTCTGTTGTTTTTTCTTTGTCTAATCTTCTCTGTTCTCTCTTTGCCGGGATATCATCGTTGGAAATGGTGCACTTGGATTTGGCTGGCTCTTCATCGTTGGAGGACTTGGAGGAGGCTGGGCATATTGGATTGGAACAGCATGCCAACAACGCTGGAGTAGAGGTATTGCTAAGTTGTTAAGGAAAAGCAGAGGTGAGTTGGTTTCATTATCATTTGTGCACTCTTACTAATTAGTACTAACATTTCCCTCCCGTCCCTCACTCTCAACACATTATTTGTAGTAGTTCTTTCCTTTTGTTTTTTGTTCTGTTGTTTTTTCTTTGTCTAATCTTCTCTGTTCTCTCTTTGCTGGGTTATCATCGTTGGAAATGGTGCACTTGGATTTGGCTGGCTCTTCATCGTTGGAGGACTTGGAGGAGGCTGGGCATATTGGAACAGCATGCCAACAACGCTGGAGTAGAGGTATTGCTAAGTTGTTAAGGAAAAGCAGAGGTGAGTTGGTTTCATTATCATTTGTGCACTCTTACTAATTAGTACTAACATTTCCCTCCCCTCCCCCACTCTCAACACATTATTTGTAGTAGTTCTTTCCTTTGTTTTTTGTTCTGTTGTTTTTTCTTTGTCTAATCTTCTCTGTTCTCTCTTTGTCGGGATATCATCGTTGGAAATGGTGCACTTGGATTTGGCTGGCTCTTCATCGTTGGAGGAGGCTGCATATTGGATTGGAACAGCATGCCAACAACGCTGGAGTAGAGGTATTGCTAAGTTGTTAAGGAAAAGCAGAGGTGAGTTGGTTTCATTATCATTTGTGCACTCTTACTAATTAGTACTAACATTTCCCTCCCCTCCCCCACTCTCAATACATTTTTTGTGGTAGTTCTTTCCTGTTGTTTTTTTTGTTCTGTTGTTTTTTCTTTATCTAATATTCTCTGTTCTCTCTTTGCCGGGATGTCATCGTTGGAGATGGTGCACTTGGATTTGGCTGGCTCTTCATCGTTAGAAGACTTGGAGGATTGGCTGGGCATATTGGATTGGAACAGCATGCCAACAACGCTGGACTGGAGGTTTTTTTTGTATTATTTTGATGTTAGGTCTCTTTGTTCTTTTTGTTCTTACTTTTTGATTTCTATTTTGTTTCCTTTGTTAGTATTTGTTGTTATTTGTTCATTAGGTTTTTATTATTGTTATTTGTTTATTGAGTTGTTAGTTTTTTGTTTATGAGGGTTGTAAAAGTTGTTAATTTTCATGTTTTACATATATTTGTTATTTGTTATATTATGTTTTTAAGATTTTATTAGTTGACATTGTTATGAGTTTCAGTTATTTGTTATTGAGGCAGTCATGAGTTTTACTTGTTAGGAGCTTAAGTTATTTGCTGTTGTTGTGATTTTTAATTATTTGTTATTGTTATGAGTGTTTGTTAGTTGTTATTGTTATGAGTTTTATTTAGTTGTT